AAAAATAAATATTGTAACTTAAGCGTAAATTAATAATGTTGGTGCCTCAGTACAATAATATTAGCATTATGATTAAATTATTTGATGAAAATATTATGAAAATTATGAAATAGGCTTAATTCTTCAATGCTTTAAATACACTGGTTATGAGCCTGGTCAAAAAGTATGAAAATTTTAATTCCACATTATAATAGTTTTGGCATATTCAAATAGTCCTAACTTTGTATTCTTTTGCACATACAGATCCATTGGAGTAAATCAATTAATGAATGCATTAATCTAACCTTCCTATAATTTTCACTAATGTAAACGATATAAAACGACAAATAAAAACAGGAACCATCCATGATCCATCCAAAATATTGTTGAAATAATAATTTATTACGGTATTGCGTAAGGTCAAAGGTTATGAACAAGAGCTTTGTTTACAGATTCAGTGCTACAGCTGAGAGAGAAGTATGAGCACGAGAACTTAAATTTAAATTCTCTCGCGTTTCCTCTTTGATTTTTCTTTTGCATATATTTACAGAAACAAAATGCTAAAGCGATTCATGAATGTTCAAACTGAATCCAGTAATGTATCCCGAAGCAGAAAAGCTGAAGAAATTCGTAAACAAATGGCTAGGCATCGAAGGAACTTAATATCCATTTGTAGGTGTGTACCTTTTTGCTGCGCCTGCATGCTACGGTGGAATTATCGACAAATCTACCGTAGGCCTAGCCGTATGGCTAGCAGGCCTAATCAAATTCCCTGCCTAAAAATAGGCCTTCGCCTTAATATCAAGAGGTGATATTAATATTCAAGCTAGACCGGAATAAACAGGCTTAGGAAGTTAGGTTTACGTGCTTAGAATGAAAGCATCACTATCTATTGGAATGGAGGCCTGGGTTAAAATACTAAAAATCACCATTCGTTGCCAACGACGTTGGCATTAAAGTTTAATTGGAATAGGGATTATAGTTCCCCCTTCCCCCAGACAGAAACCAGCCTACGTTATTCTTATTGTTTGAATTCATCTCGCTTCTTAATTCCCAATGAATGCAAAAAATGGTCAAAAGCTGCGCATCCCTGTTGGCCCAGTAGAAGAGCTATTTTATGGGTCAGAGGTTGAAGTTTCCTTCTTGAGCTGATGCATTCCCTAGCATGTTAAGGGGTATTATTTATTATCAGGAGGGATTCAGTAAACAAAGCGTTCAACGAACCATAAGTTCTGACAGACAATTATGACACCAACGCTTTAAGAAAACATATACAATACACATGATTTCTCAAAAATAACTCTGCTTATTTTTTCAGGTTAACTATACAAAGTTTAAAAGAGAAATCTATGTACAATTCCATTGATGATAACAGTGAAGAATTCCTCAACTTTGCCACTATTCTAGAACACATTCTTAGCCACCGTCTTAAAGGTACAAATTACATTTGCGGTAAATTTTAATAACATTAAATATGTTGTTATATATTTACTATTTAATCATATACATTATGTTATATTGCTTCAATTTACCATTTAAGAGGTATTTATCTGTTGTTTATTGTATAGTGTTTTATTAAGTATTAAAAACATTCTACTGTTTTTAAGGGTTTTCAGAGGTTATCTTCATCAAAAATGTGGTTTATGATAAAAATGAATAATACAATTAACATAAAATAATGAAATAACAATTAACATATTCAATGGACAAATGCTTCCACATTGTGTATTGTTTACAATAACAACTTTTATAATAAAAGTTATAATGTTTCTGGAACTATCAGCAATGAATCAAGGAGTGCTGAAGTTTTGGGATTTATAGTAACCAAAGAAATTACAATTTTGGCAGACAAGTTACAGTTATGTTGCCCATACACCCTTTACAAACCCCGCCAAATTTGATCTGCCACTAATTACTGTAAATTGCCTTTAATTTTGATCATAGGTGAAGCGACTTGGTTTCGTTTTGAAGAACCCCGGGAATTTTGGGATTTCATTTATGTGGCATGTCGCAATGTTCCAAATAATTGTTTACAAAGTCTACACATGATGGAAGACTTCAAAAGCTCACGAGTAAAGGTAAATTGTAGCATGATCATATCAAATCATTATTCATTATTTCCTTTCTTCCTTTTTAAGTTTTAGTTTATTTATTTTGAATTCAACTCTAGTCCAGTTATTTTTAATTACGAGGATTAAAAAAAACCTGGTGCTTGGAAGGCAAGCATACACCAAAAGCTTAATCTCAAGTCCTCTTTGTATTGTAAATTGCACTATAAATGTAATAGGATTTTTATTGCACACATTTTCATTTCAAAACGGCTCTACTGTTGTTTTTGTTCTTTTTGAAGGGACGCGCTTGGATAAGAGCCGTGCTGATGGAGAAACGACTTAGCGAGTACGTCGTTGAAAGTATGCAAGATGAACGACTACTTAAGTAAGTTTTTTTCTTATCCATGAACTACATTTTCGCAATGGGCAACAAGTGGTATGTCAAATAAATTTTTGTGATGGCTACCACTTCATGGAAAGGTCAGGATATTTATTTCTTCAACAGTTGTAAATGGATTAATGGGGTGCTTCACAGAATAAACGGCTATAAACTTTCACAGCTCATGATAACATGACCTATAGTTGGTTGCAGTTTGCGCAACAGTTAGATGTTTGAACCTCTCACTTCGCATTCCGCTTTTGTCCTTGGCTTGTGTCATTTGCCAATATTATGAATTCAGTGACCAGGAATAATTTTAATGTTGTCACCAACTTGGCAAATGGAAAGAACAGTTACATCAAAGAAGAAAAGAAAAGGCCACATAGCGACTCATGCCACTGCACAAACATAGAAGCAAAATAGCAATTTCAGAATAAAAATGTATTTAATTTAATAAATAAAAATAAATATAAATGAAATACACTTAAATGTACACATAACCTACTTTTAATTGAAAAGATTCTGGTTGCAGGATATTTTACGGCGAAGGATCTTTCATGAGAAGTGAAGAATCACAAATATTGAAGGAGTGTCTACAAGATCTAAATCTTGTTGACTTCAGGTAATATAGTCTAGAAAGATTAACATAACAATTTCAAAAAGTATTAATAAGTTTAATAAAATTATCCTCATTTTACCTGCACAAATAAGGTAATCTGCTGACAAGGAGCAAAGTTTATTGCACAAATCATAAAAAGTTACATGGTGTAATGATCAATAGTATGAATAATATTAATATCTGATTGACTACATAAAAAAAAAATAAGGGATTTAGTCATGGTGGTTCTAAAAACATAATTACATTACATTCTATCTTCATTCCTAAAAAGATAAAATAAATATTTTTATTGTGAATATAATTTTATTAAATTCATATTTTTATGTTTTGGATCTGGCTAGTTTTGATAGTAATAGATAAAATATAATGAAAATTGATTTTACCTTGTCATAGCTTTTGCTTGAAAGGGAGCAACAATTTACAGACTGGGGTGGCTAGGATTGTTGACTATACCCCCTACCTCAGCTGCTCTGAGAGGTAAGTTGTAAAAATTAATATACAATGAGCCTCTGAAACTTTATTTTAGTCTTATTTAAAAAAAATTATTCATTGGAAAAAAAATATACATTTCAAAATATACAATACTGTAGATTTGTTATAGATAAAAAGTACATACTTTTTTGTTGTCGGAAGTCCAGATGAAATTCTTTGGTCATTCAAGTATATTCATTATCTTATTGTGTCATTTGGTTTACTGTTTGTTAGACTAACTGGTACCATGCAGCAGAGAGCAATGGATGTTGATATTAGTCTTTTGGCAGTACAGGAAGATGAAGACCAATTCGGTGATCAGTCGTTAGAACAGCAGCTTCAAAATCTCAAGTCTAAATACACATCTGTGTGTGATCAGAAGGTTGTGAAAGAAGATCACAATATAGTTATCGATAGATAATCATACATATTATCACCAGATGATCACACACCGATGATCACCCGTTAATAATATTCTAATACTTCAGAGCATGAAAAACCGAAATGTCCACTGATTAATCTCAGATAAGATAGTATAATACATACTCCAAGTATTGAAATGCATGCCATCGTGTTGGGATTCAGTATTTCGACATTAATGATATTCCTGATGATGACATAATTAATGTCGAAATATTGAATCCCGACACGATGGTGTGCATTTCGATACTTGGAGTATGTATTATACTATCTTATCAGAGCTCTAAATATTGAAAAAGAGTGTCTGAAGAATTTTAAGTCATTAATGATGTTTGCTTGATGGGGAGCTGGCTGATATTAGTTAAAAAGGTGAACTGGATTGATTTTCTAAAGATAATCCGATAAATGTACATCTATTGGTTGTGATTGTATCAGTGTAAAGTTCAGATTTCAAGAGGGGTTACACCATAGTGTGTTTTGTATTCTATTAAAATTTATTGAAAGATGATTGATTTCCATTTGAAACTGAACTATTGATTTATCTGGTTGCCCTTGTAAATTTGTAGATATTTGCTACACAGATGCAATTTATTGTGTCACCATATTTTGATTTAATTTGCTCTTTTCCTTAGAGATATTTGGAAGAGAGGCTACAGGCATCTAATGACCAGTTGAATGATGCATTGATGCAAGTGAAGGTTGCCCAGGAAACAGTAAAAAAGATGGAGGAGAGGTCAAAAGGAGAAAGATTGCAGTTGGAGAATGTGATCATAGAACTGCAGGATCAAATGTAAGAAAGCTTATGAACACAATATATTTCATTGCTAATTGAGACATAAGCATTTAAATGACGCAGAGAGTGCTAAATTTTTTTTTTTCAGAGGATATTTGAAGGATGCCCATCTGGCATCCAGAAAAGAACTTGAGGAACACTTGACAACTGGCCATTGGCATCTACGGAGAGACCACTCTGGGCAAGCAATTGCCATGGATTACGTTACTATGAATACGGGTAGCTCTTCTATAGACACCGGAGCTGATGGGTAAGGGAAACCCTTGAAGACTTACCAGGACCCTAGGAACTAATAGGATTAGCATAGCCAAATTTAGGTCTGTAGCATATAGCCAGCTAGTAGGGAGATATGGAATATATACTGCCAGTGGTAGAATGTGGGGTATATCAGTGATGGCCCCAGAAATCTGATGAGGTCTTGGAGTGAAACCTCTAATGTTGTCAAGGATATATCTTATGGATTATAGGATTGGAAAAATTGGGCGAGGAAACCTCTTTCCGAGAGGCTGCAAGAATACAGGGTAAGGAATTTTTAAAATGTACAAATACCTGTCTCTTATACACATCTAGATGTGTATAAGAGACAGCTTGTGTCCTTGGGCAAGACACTTTATCTACGGTTGCCTCTCTCCACCGAGGAGTACAAGTGGGTACCTGGTAGGTTCAAACACAGCCTGTGCTGAATACAGCTTCAACATTATGGAATTCCCCCATGGGGCCATATGTGCTTGATCCAGTGATCCAGGGGTGATAATGTTCAAGCGCCTCAAGGTTGTGTCAACGTTAGGTGCTATATAAATCCAGAATTATTATAATTATTATTATTACTTTCCGGGCGATTCTTGCTTGCTCGCCGGAGTGCGAGAAGCCTTTCCGATTTCCGAGAGACCTTTAATAATTTTTTATATCAAATTTTAAAATCTTTTAATTAGTCATTTTATCTTTGGTAATATTTTAACATAAATTATTTTAAATTTAAATTTGTATTTTATCATTGTATTTGTGCTAGTTTGATTAAGTACAGTATTGGAGAGCCACTCTGATAGTTTTTTACACTCTTGGCCATCCCCAGGGGACTGTTTATTTTTCGGCTAGAGCTTTCGTTTTGTCTTCCTTTGTTTCTCTTTGTGAAATTTATTTACCTGGAAATTGAATAAAATAAAAAATCCTGAAGTAACCAATTCAATTATTTAAATAATATTGTTGATGGTTACAGAGTAAGCTTACAGAGTCTTGAGCCGCCAACCAGCCCAAGCCAAATAAGTCCAACGTCATCAAATTCACTTACATTGCTGTTAGGTAAGAGGGTAGATGAGAGGCCTATGAGAGAAACAAAGGAGGAGACGCCTTCATTGGTTCCCCTTGCTGGCTCCTTCACGTCACAGGTGAGAATTTCTCTATTATTATGGTTTTGGAAAGGCAGGAATGGTTGGTTTTCCCAGCCTCGAGGTCAGGGTTTCAATCCCCTAGCGCTGTGTGATTCGCTTCTTTCCTAGAGCAAGGTACTTTGCATTTGCATCTCACTTCCCAAGAGTATAGTAGGGGATATTTCGCGCCGATAAATACACGAACGGTACTAATTGTGGCAGCAACATAAGCCGAGTACATAGACACAATGACATGTATGTGAACAGAAAGATGCTATATAAGTAAAAGATAAAGTAGATAAAAATATTTTGTTGTCATCATCTCCGACAACGAAGTTGTTGTCTGCGTTGCGACTGCTGTACTTGTCCACACATGCACACCTGGTGTTTTCAAGATGGTGTCGCACTGAAAGACTAACCAGTCCCAAAATTTAAGCTGATAATAAAATTGTTATGTTGTATGTTATGTATGTTGTTATCTGAAATTAAAACATATCTATTAACTACAAGATAACCAGATGAATTTCTTCTATGATAATAAAATGTTTACTGAATTAAGCTATATTAATGTTTTCAGTTCAGTGTCAAGTCCAACGATAATGTTTTTACTAGTAGTACGTCTTCATCGGCCAACCTTCAAGATGGACATGCATCGCAGGTATGCACCATGTAAATTCAAAGCTGTTAAAATAGCACCTGCATTTTTTGTTTGAAGGAATTATGTTTCCTGCTTAAATTGTTTAATTCCTACACGTTGCCTGTCTGTTGCCTTTCATTATAGAATATATAGCACAGGTGGGCAAAGTGTGGCTTGTAGGCCACATGCACCTAATAACAGCAATGTTTTGGCTATAAAACCCCGTTGTTTCATGGCCCGTCACCAATCATCTGTAAAAAAAATCAGGACATGAAGTTTTTGCAAGCAAATTGGCAACGTCAAATTTTCACCTACTGTAGCACCAAAATTTACATGCTGCCCGCAAGGTCAATAAATTGACTTCGACTGTATAGAACTCTTATTATTTACAATTTGAAAATTCATCTTTCACATAGATGTGTACCTGTACCTGAACTTTCATTTTGAAGTGTTGTACCACAGCTTCTTTACAGATTTTTGTGATTGCATTATGTGGCCTAAGTAAAATGATTGTATAAAGGGAAAAATTATTTTAAAAATTTGATTTTCTTGCAGACATTACCAAAGTTATCAGAGAGTGGTAGCATCAGCTCAGCTGTGTCTTTAGCTGATAGTCTACTAAGCACCGTGTCAGCCCCACCTTGAACATTGCAAAAACCAAAGTAAACAAAATCAGAAGCAGAATTTTAGTGCCGGATATATTGCAGTTACAGAAAGACCTGTAATGCACCTACTTTATATATTGGAATACTGTACAGTACATTTATGCATTAATAATACAATGATGATATAGACTGTTACCACCAACTTGGCATCATAGGTTGGGTGTTAGAGCAGCCAAACACTGATTGGCAGGTTTTAGCATAAAATCTTGACAAAGAAAAATAAAATAAACTGAAATTATTTTGATTTTAGCAATTTACAGATAGATTTATATATTTCTTTGAATTAATTATACCAGTATTTATTTCTTTTTAAAAATTTCCTAATGTGCAAATGCAATCATGGTTTCAATGCAACTACTGTATTATAATTCTAACTAACAAATGTAAGTGTTGACAATAAGGAAGGGAGAAGTAATACAGTGTCCATTTCCTGGGGCAAGTGATCCTGGGATAATCTGTGGACAATTACCCAGTAATTTTATGAGTTGCTATTGGTAGTTAAATGCCCGGGGATGTTCCCTTAAGTATAATTTTTGTGGGATAGTTGACAACTCTACCATTAGTGTCTTCAGCATTTTCCATATTTAAATAAATATATATATTGATTAGATTTCAAATTAGTCATAAGGAATATAAATTACTGTATATTTATGTTATTAAATCCTGATTAAAGTACAAAATAATTTCAATCAGAAATTAAGCTCAGAAATTTCTGTATGTGACTTTGCTATTGATTTTGGCACCAATGGCGTTCCATATTACCTATTTGCTTGGCGTTTCATAGTATACTTTTTCTTGGATTAATTCGCATCAAAAAAGTTTTTGACATAAACTGACGCTGGTGGAGCTTTTCCAAAATGTGCTAATACTACGAAAAATCAATAAATTAGAGACTATTGGCAAGTCTACGATAAATGTAACATCAAATATGTATACACATTAGGTAGAACGCGGTAGAAAGAAAGTGAGCCTATGACCATTTCGGACATTTTTTTTAAATATAGTGCAATAGCAAACTAATTCAGGTGTCTCTACTCAAGAGGGTTTCAAAATAGCTAATCAAATGGTTCGCTGCATAAGTTTCAAACTATGGGCCAGAGCCTACTATAGGCTCAATCATGACAATAAGTCACTTTACAACTTTTATAACGATGCAAGCTGAGGTATCTATGCATGGCCGGCCGAGAATGGACAGCATGAGGTTCAAGGTCTGGAAATCAAACAGATCACGCTGCGCCAATCTGCCTACCCTAATGTTGGGTTATTTTCTTCCTCATTGACTCTGGCTGCTATCATAAAACGATGTACACATTAGTAGAGCACTGTAGGTGCATTTGTGTGAATTTAATTAAATTTTATCCTTTTCTTCATCCTATCTTCGCCAAATAGTGCATACATTCTCTCTATGCCGAAATCTATCATTTCATCAGTTGTTTATAGTCATGTAAATTTATTAAATTTCAGTAACAAAAGATATCAAAACCCCTTTGAGAAATACATAACACATAATATTGAGTAAAAAACCAGACAGACCACTACTTTATTATTCATTCTATCACATTGAAAAAGACACATAAAATGGAAAGTTGCAATCAATGTAACATTATGATGATAGTATGTGTAGTAGATTGTAATAGATCAAACCTATTGAATCACAACCAGCAGATTTTTTCTTAAATTTCAATATTCTTTTCCACACATCATTTTAGTTGGCAGTTTTTTCTTTATCTTCTTTCTCAGTTCCTTCATCTTTAACTGATTGATCATCTTCCATTTTTTCGTCTTTTGAATGCTCATCCTCTGAAAGGGAGTCGCAGTCAGTGCAGAACCATTCATAACCTCGTTGTTTAGGACTCTTCTTCAGAGGTGGAGTTAAACAGCCAAAATGATAACAACTCTTGCATTTATCACACCTGTGTATATCAAAATTATTCCATTATTTGTAAAGCATTGCAATCGTCTTTATCAAGACTACTGATGAAAAATACAGAAGATGCCAGAAAACAATAACAAAACAGATTTTTATTCTAATATTAAAATTATTAAGTGCCCAGTATGATTTATATAAAAAACAGCCATTCTGGGCTTAGCTAGCTAGCTTAGCCAACCTTCATGTTACATTCTGTTATTATTCAATGATCAGATAAAAGAGCAACACCAATAATAATACCAATACTAATAACAATACAATAAACAATATGTAAAAACTCACCTGACAAGGTTTGTGAAATTTCCTTCTTGGCTGCAATTAGCACAATTGTTTTTTATATCACTCAATCGTGGCCTCTTAGATGATGACCCTTTACCATCCTATAAATGCATATTTTTAAGTTGTATGTCAATTTTAGGCAGTTAAAAATAAAATAATATTGATAAATATTTAAAGCAAATACATCATAGCTGTAAAATATACACACAGTTGACAAGGTCACGAATATTATATTTCTTATGTAGTAGAAACAATAAAATATCAGCCAACCTTGAGAAGTAACACCCTAAATTCTTAGAAAAAAAATTGTGTATGTAGTTGTGTGTCTGGATTGTGGAGGGGCGGAGGCGGAGGTAGAGGGGGTGGAGGAGCTGACCTTAGTAACAAAATTCCAGGGAGCTTACCTGAAAGGTCAATTTTCAGAAGGTTTATTGACGACCTTGAAGGGATAAGCTGGGATAAATTCAGGCAATTAATCCAATAAAAGGATTACACTTACCACGTCTTCTTTTGTGTCATCTGTCTTCAAAGCTGCTGGCTTCCTTACTTTCTTCCTTTTCTTTAACTTTCCTTTGCTACCCTAAATGACACAAAGGAATAAAAATATATTTTTAAAAACATAAATGGTTATTGTTATCAGTTTTTTTTTTTAAAGTTTTTTTTTTAGCTTTTAATTTTAACTCATTAAATATTGTAATAACGTGATGTACATCATGCTAAATTATTATAATGAAAAATTTGATAGACAAAAACAATTACACATTTCATACCTTTTTGGATGGCATAACCTGAGAGATAAATTTTACTGGTTCCTTGATTACTCTTCGTTTCCTTCGTTTAATTTCATCCCCCTCTTCGTCTATGTCCTGAGGAGATGTTTCACTATCGCTTGTGACGCACTCTGAGCACTGCCTACAAATGGACAAAAGTTTGGGTTTTGAATCCAGGATTGAGAGTTTGTTTCTGAGGGTGGTCAAGTGCTTGAGTCTTTGGGGAAGCCACTTTACAGTATCTACATTTCCCTCCCTCCACTCAAGAGTGGGAGAAAAATGGTCATGCAACAACCAGAGATACAAGTTAACTCCTTAAACAAAAGTTTACTTAGTTTAGAAAAAAATTATATTTCAATAATAATAATAATATCTCGAATTTATATGGCGCCAATTCCAAATAAGATCAAAGGCGCAACGCATGTGAAAAGCCACCGGAAAACAAATAGGTCTTAAGCTGTGACTTAAAGTTGCAAATAGAGTTGGAAGAAGTTATACAATTTGGAAGTTGGTTCTAGAAATAGGCAGAAGCAAAAGTAAAAGAACATTGACCGTAAGTTTTGGTACGGCATTTGGAAACAATATTATGTTAATATTCATGTAAACTCACCAAGCACTGAAAGCTGTCTTTTTGGGCATCCTTGTAAGCGGTGGATCTAAGCAGGAGAGGTGATAGTGGTTCTTGCATGTGTCGCACTGGGCCAGTTGGTGTTGTGAGTGAGTTTTCTTGCATATCCCACAGCTTAGAATAAAACAGATTGATATAATTTATATACATAATCTAATTATGCAAAAATTATTTTGGATTTAAGGAAATGTTAAAAAGAAAATAAACAAATGCTTATTTAAATGACTGATAGAATAAAGAAGCTCATTAGACCTATCAAGCCACAAGGCAAAGCTTTCTAGCCCCTAGAAGGCAGAATATTGCTCATTAACTGTCACAGTTTCATATACAGACAACAGTAGATACTATAAACAGAAAATAAAAATTTAAAACAGTCAGATATACTTACAAGTTAATAATAGTTGAAATTTTTGAAGGATCTTTCTTGGTGGGTGACTTTTTTGGTTTGTGGGGTAAAAGGACTGGTGGGAGGGGTAACGGCTTCCCGCCAAGCTTGGACAATAAGTTGAAGATGGCTTCACCAGCGGCAATCATCTGGCTGTTGATTATGCGTAACTTTTCAGCTTCCGCTGTCAACTTTAATTTAATTAAAAACAAATTTACATATTAAATCAACAATTACTCTTTTTTTGTAAAAATAATAATGCAGCCATACTTGTTGAAAGTGTCAAAAGGGCCTCTAACCACTTCAAATTATTACTCCAATCATGTGATAAAACAATTGTGGAACACATACACCGTTCCAAATAAAAATAAATGACAGTAACTCAGAAAAGAGATTGAGACATTTTAAGATTCAACATTTCTATCTATTTAATCATTATCAAATATATTTGAAATTGATCAAATAGATCAAAACGTTGAATCTCAAAATGTTTCCGTCTCTTTTTAAAGTTACTCTGTTTTTGTTTTATTTAAAACTAATTAGTGGATCCTCGGGCTTTTATACTCAGTTTGGGGAGAATTCCAAGGTGCCCGAACTAGTTATCAGTGCACTGGTATGTAAACACATCAGATACCTACACGTTGAGAAAGGGCACAGGTGCGCCCACTTATACTACCCCAAGTACCACTTACACTGGAAAGAGGCATCCAAGAAAAAGTGTCTTGCCTAATGACAAATATAAGTAATCAGCTTCAGTAAGACCTATAACCACAGTTGCCATTTCTTTATCCCGTTAATAATAATCAAAAAGATTTTCGCTATCACCAATATCCCACACAAATTTACAGTTACCAGTTCTTCCTTTTGTTTTTCTTTTGCTTTTAAAATCATTTGTTTATTAGTTTAAGGATACAGTCTTGTGGAAGACCAATCTTTGTAAAAAGACTGAAATGAGTTTCCGTGAATAAATAAAACTGTTATTATTAGTATATTGTAAATGGCTCTTCAATATATAGACTAAAAGTTTTAAAACTTACATGACAGTTTAGGTCGCTGAGAGTTACCATTATCAAATGACTGGAATGTACATATTTCAAAACTTTCAGTCTATATATTGAAAGTCTTACCTCATCATAGCTGAGCCTCAGTATTTGGTTCTCACCACGCATCTCATCATTGGAGTTTATAAGGTCATCAAGGTGAGTCTTCATCTGGGTCATTCGAGAATCCCGATCTGAATAAGAAAAAAGAATTAGAGTGGAGAAATAATCTGCAATTGGGGACAAACTGACCAATCAGCACAACAGTTTAGAGTTCCAATTTAAAAACTTACATTATGACAAACAAAATTTTAATTATTAATAATTATTCATTTTAATTAAATATTTATTTTAAAGGTTTTAGGAAACATGAGTGCTTAAATACCTAAATAATAACTGATGAAATCTGTACTAAATGCTGGTAGGACATTCCATTTTCTAGCACTCTCTGTTCTGTCCTTGCTTTTTTGATACTGGGTTTGATCCCCACTGAATCCCAGTAACTCGGCCTTCCTCATCAACCTCCGACAAGCCGAAGCACTGGTTGTTAACATCCTTGGTGTTTTCTGTGGGGGCGTCCATGGGGCTGGCCACTGACGTTTCCGTTCTAGATACTTTTCGCTTGATTTCTTTAATTTCTCGTTTATCCTTTGGATTGTAATTGGATCATTGGGTTTATTCTGGCTGTGAATTTTAAGGTGAGACTGCACGGCTAGCCAGTTCTGCCGTTTCCTCTTCATACTGGCATTATCTGCATGTAGCTTGCAGTACGTATAGAATGGGTCTGCAATGTCCTGTCCAAAATAACATATACTGTATTACTCAATCACAAGTATGCTTATAGGGCTGTTATACTCTTATTTTATAGGTCTTCTATCATAAAAAAAAAGGATTTCAGAAAACAGAATAAAAAAAATTATTATAAAATGTATTGCTTTCTGTACACAAGGGCTGCACAAATCCACAAAAGCAAACAACAAAACTGAAAGGCACTGGATCCTATTATAAATATATAAATTCAAATGTCGTCTTAATATCTCATTATTGGGTGTATTAATAATTATTCAGAAAAAACCCAAATATTGGTAATTTTATTTCCATATTAGTCAATAAGTTACGGTAGCTAGTTTATTAGTCTCCAAAGGAATATAGTTTTTTTAAATACATACCTCTTCCGGTGATGCTTCAGATAACAATCCTGCCCTCTGGGCACTGTGGAGTAAACAAATATTTAACAATAAAATACAGATCCAATTTTTAATTTGATATATATTTATATACAGTTATAATTGTTGATTGATAAATGCAATGTTTGCTTTAGCAGCAAGAAATTAATTCTTGAATCTCTAAAAAATAAAAATCTTCAATATTTTCTTGCATCATTACATTCACAAAAGTGTACATTAAAATATGAGACCATATCATACGAGAGCCCACATAAGGGAGACCACTTACCAAGTAGCGTGGCAATAGTTACGACACATTCCAGCATCACATGGGATACAAACACCAGTGTAGCTAAACCTTTCATCTTCACAGTAACAACATTCCTGACAAAAACGAAATTATAGTAATTTTTGGTGATTTACAGATTTTTTTAGAAACTCCTAAATTGACTAAAGGCCAATTCCAAACAAGGGTCTATGCAACAACATTATAGGAATGGTATATTTAATGCATCTTGTTCTATTTTCAATTTAAAGATAACCTTATACAAAGAAAGCCATTCAAATATTGATTTTATTGTTATAGTGTTCTATTTTAGTTCAACACAGTATACCAAATATAAATTTTTGTAAAGATTTTACTTACTCTAGCACCCCACTTGGAAGGCTGGAGTTCCGACAGAGTAACAGGACTTAATTTGTCTACATCGCCAAATGCAACTCCTCCAATATACAAGGCACACACCAGATGAACCCACCTCAAGAAGAAAGAGAAAATCGAAAAATAAATGAAAATAACCTCTATGGCAATAGCTTACAATGTACAACATACAAACAAGAAGCATAATGAATTGGTCTTGTTAAGGTCTACCCACTTTGCTGCATCTGTTTCTTTGAATATTCCGCCAATGTTGGGGCACAACTCACAGCTCTAAGGAAAGAACAAAGTAAAATTTATTCATACATGATACAAATGCTTATTCAGAAAAATATAACCACATTCATTGTTAATAAAAAATTTACAATTTGTGATAGAAGTCAAATTGCTTGTGAACAACGTTGTAATTGCCCAAAAATTATTACATATTAGGCGTCGTTCACAATTATACTGTTTGTACACTAGTAAAAATGCTGATAATTGTGAACGACCTCTTAATAAAAAAAGTTAATACGGAACATAGACAAAGTAACAAGCTAATTACATTTTAGGTTGATGGGTATCTAAGATGTTTCCTGTAATTTGAATTGTTACATGCTGAGGGTCTCAAATGAAATGAAATAAAAAAAATGAAAATTTAAAAAGAAAAGGTCAGAAAATGTAACTTACTGGATTCACTACACCTGCCTTACAGACGTCACAGAACCACGGTTCTGTTGAACTTTCAGTCTCAACGCTACTCGAGTCTTCGCTGTCATCACCATAACAACTCTCATGTACAGGTATCCCACAATTATCGCACTCTATGATTTCATCATTGTCTTTGCTTTAAATGAATTGAAAGAAATAAAATCAAAATTTGTTCATCCCTGAAATACTCTTTAAATATATTTGTACTTGTCTTCCTACAAAGTTCAAACAAATCAATAAAACAAAACTTATAAAGTAAAAACAAACATATTTTAAATTAATTAGTAACTAAATGCCCTCCCTATACACTAATGGTATTAGCATTGTGATAGATATCTTATAGGGGTTCAGTAAATAATTTGCACACACAGTTATGAAAAATCAAATTATAGCAACTATCATGAGATTTATTATCATGTCATTCATTGCATACTTTGAAATAACTTTCAAATTAAAATGTGCTAAAGGGAAAATCATAAAGAGCATAACACTTGCTCACATTGCTCAGTTAGTAGAGCATCCCAAAGTAATCTGAAAGTCTTGGATTTGAATACAAATAAAACAATACATATTTCTCAAAACTTCAATATTATAACATCTGTTATTATGAAAGTGGTAAAAATTTGAATTCTATATATCAATGCATATTAGAACCAACCTTACTTCTCCAAGACACACAGCACAGATAAGCACTTTGATAGCATTAGTGTGTTTTGAGTGGAAATTCATGAGGTTCTATGGAGACAGACAACAATGGCAGACAATCAGCAAATGGAACCATAAATATTTAAAAAATAAAAATTTCTTAACCACATAAATTCAGTAAAAGTAATATCTGCCACATTATGTATGGTATATCTTCAGAAGACAGCACTTAAACTGCATAAATTAAATATGAACTTAATTCATATTTTTGGATAAAACAAAATATAAAAATTTATTTTATAAAGTATATAATAACACATAAGATAACTTGTCCTAATAAAAAAAAGTAAAAGATAATTTACAGAGATTTAACATCTATTTATTAATAAATTGAAAACATATAATATGATGTGGAAGAACATTTAAAGAATTTGAATTGATACTGTAGTACAGTACAGTAAATTACAATATAATTACTCCTGTAACTGAAATATGTGCTACATGTATAATTTTCTCAACTAATAACTTTAATAATACTTATTACTAAATACATTATTTCTAAATATATACTGTATACAAAATTAACCATAAATATGTACCATTTCTGTGATTTTTCTTGACTTAGCTTTGCTGATCATATCAGACACGCTGAGATCTTTATCAGATTCTGAATTTTCTGTCTCTTCCTCGCTGTCTTCTTCATCATCTGACGTGCTCTCTTCTTCATCATCACTTTCTCCCTCAGTTTCTTCATCCGACTGATCAGATTCATCTAAATCCAAACATATAAACACATATAGCGAGTTGATTGCCTTTCACAAATATACTCATCAGCGGCGGTGGCACCACCACCACCACCGAGAATTATGGGGGTTGAGCTCACCAGTCTTTGCATTAGGGCTTCATTAATTGACCCTACTGGCTAATGCCAGAAAAAATATTGTCATACATCCCCGTCTTACCAAATGTATATCCTCAGTAGGGTATATATGAGGGCATTTGTAAATTAAATATGTTAATGTTCCAACAAACTCTTGGTCAACATTTGGGGGTAGTGCATATACAGGTACCCACAAAACTACTGTATACATGGACTGACTGAGATAAAAAAAATTATATTCTTTCGCATGGAAATCATTACAAAAAATAAACAATAAAAGTGTTTTGATCAAATCATTCTCCCACCTTTTTTATGATGCTCTTCAACTTCAAAGTCACTATCATCCTCACTGTCGTCCAATCCAAAATCAAGCTGCAGCAGGTGGCGCTCAACAGGTTTGACTCTCCTTTTCTTTGGATCCCTTTCCACTTCAAAGCAAGTTGAAAAGTGTATTTCAATTGAAATTGAATAGCACTTATAATATACATCTTAAGCTAGTAACAAGTACATATACATGACAGTTTCTTCAAAATATTTAAATAAACCTGGTGCTCAAACATTTTCATCTCAAATGAGCAGCTGTATTTTTCTACCTCAAGTACATTATACTTCAACTTACTCATTGCCTTAAACAGAAATCCAACTCCTTCATCCTCTTTGGATTCTGCTGCAGTATTCTGTTCCATGTGGAACAACACAGGAAAAATTCACACCGCAATTTATTTGATTTTTCGTGCAACTGAGCTCCCTTCACTCAGTGTGGTCACACTGAAAAACAAAGATGACTAAACTTAAACATCAAAGAAATTAAACATGATGAAGAAATATTTTGTGAAAAACTAAGTAATTTGTTACTATGTCAGGAAAGGATGGTGATGTACTGGGAGGGAGCAGTGGGTCCAGTTGTATTGGGTTGCAGTCGTGGTTTATTTGGATATAGGCAAGTTATTATTTTTGATCTGACAACCTATCGTGGTGTCAGATGACAGGGGAGATGGTTCTGTAAAAACAGAGTAGACAGGCCTGTCCGACAGGGAGAAAAGCCCCACCTCTCACGTTGGTACCACCACTGACAACACAAGCATTTCAAACCTCCCAATTAAATCAGCAGTCTTCCAACTTTACATGCAGTTTCTGAGTTTCTGATGTTTTCAGAAAAAAACCCCAAAACAGCTAATTTAGAAAAGCTATAAGTCACTTTCTTTGAATTCAGATGCCAATATGATGACGTCACAATGTCCAATCAGCCATTATGATCTCTAAAATCATATTTACAACTTATGTGCTTTCAGAATATGTAATAAAAATTGGGGGTCACCTTTCAACCTAAGGAGCTATAACTGATTAAAAATAGGTCTAATTTTATCATAATTTCACTGTATAGCTGCACAAATACGCGCAAAGATACCTATGTTTGATGCGCATGTACGGCATTGCTATTGGCCAAAAGATGACCGAAAAGAATGCAAATTTGTGAAAACAATGTCAGGAACCCAAAATATGTAAAAAAAACCCCTAATTTCTAACTTCCATACGTACTGCGCAAGTAAAAGTGCGCGTGCGTAGTGGAAAATTATGAAAAATTTTGAAATGCTCAAAATGGCCTGAAACGTGCTCTAATTTAGTCAAAAAGTGATTTAGAGCAATTTGAAATTTTGACGTATGCGTGAGCGCGCATTAAAAAGCGCACGCGTAAAATTAGGGTACAGTACATTCAACATTAACCCAAAGTTAATGCTCACTTAATACGATTTCGAAATGTCAATTGGTTAGGCTGATAGGATTGATAATGTAATAACCCAAAATTGCGCGTAGTTGACGTCACGCATGACTGAGCGCGGTGAAAAGCTTACCATGACTATTCCAGACCAAGCAAAATGTTCGTTGATAGCGATTGTGCGTAAACTCGTGGCATTTTTTGAGATATCGTGCGAACAAAAATGGAAGGAAAGGTAGAATAAAAAAAAAAAGATCTCGTACAATAACAATAGGTGATCCGCTAACATTAGCGGATCACCAATAATGTTGGCGTACAAAGACTTTTTTAAGTGTTGCTAACACCTCAAAAGATAGAATGCACCCATACATTTTTTGAGGTGGGGGCGCACTTCACAAGGCCATGTCAAGTTTCACCACTTTGAGTAGGCCTAGGCCTAGTTAGTAGTACTACTCTGGGCCCAGCCAGGCCTAGGGCCTAGGCTAGGCCCTAGGCCTATTTATTTTAGGCCCTCCGCTGGCCTAGAAATGGCAAGGAAAAATATTCTTCTATGAACTTTCACATAGATCTAATTCGTATAAACATGATGCATGGTCAGTACGGACGAATAAATAAATATAAACCTCTAGGCCTAGGCCTATGCCTATTTATTATCTGTATGCATTATTGGTGTTTCTCGATTTATTTACCTTTAGCTCCGTCAAGACAAAAGATGCAGGGGATGAGGCACTATCTGACTTACATTGAATAGTTGCCAGATAGTATGTGTGAGCACAATATTGAAGGGTAATAAATAAGGAACAATTCAGAAAACAGAGCAAGAGGACGTTTATTTAATTGACAAAATAGCTAAATGTTTATTGTTTTTATAAATTTTATAATTGTTCAAATATAGTTTCAAAGAATACTAAATGAATAGAAATATATATATACAATTGAAATACAGCGTTACGCTCTGCCAAAAAGCTATAAGTTGACCTTTATGTTTTTGTAATAAATAACACTCTTTGTTTAAATCAAAATGTCTAACATTGAAATCAAAACCCTTAAAAAATATCTAGTGATATAAATCAATGATAAAAAAAATTGATTAATTAATAATTCATAACTTTGAAAAGTTATTAATCTTAACTTCATTAACAATTAAATTTCACTGAGGTCATTTAGACACCATTTTAGATACCTAGAGAGATTAGACGGGGACGGTCGGCGGTCGTCGGATTCGGTTACGGTTAGGAAGTTGTATTTGAACGGTAATTTAGGCTTTAAATTCATCATGACTTTTATGCAAGGACTATCGATGAAGACTCTAAGGCACCACTACTCGGTAATTCTTTTTCTAAAAATATTGCACAAGTGATTTAGTAATAGCAGTTAGTGCCTTGGCTGAGGCTAGGCCCTAGGCCTAGGGCCTATCTAGGCTGACCTACTACTAGGCCTAGCCTAGGGCCTAACGGATTATGACCGGTTGAGCCGCCGGTCATTTCTATGGAACGCCAAGCGCGTCTCTCAGTGAATGTAGTGCGTTAATTGCGGCGTATTTCAATTAACTTATTCGTTCTTGGTACTGTACTGTTGTTTGGGATGTACAGTATTTCAGTTTATTTACTCAATTATTTCAATTTATTTAATACTCGGTTTTTGCACTGATTTATTATTAATTAAATATTTTTGGGATGTAGGCCTATTTCAATTTATTTACCAAGTTCTTTTTATCGTTTTAATTTAAATTTTGTGAGTATTTGCTCAGTCAGCTTGCCAGATAGTAAANNNNAAAAAAAAAAAACTCCATACATTCTTATCATTTATTATATATAAGTTTAACAAATAGTACAAAAATAAAAAGTATATAAATTACAAAACCATAGTAAATACTGTATATTATTAACATAGGCCTAACACATTTAAATTTATTGTTTATAGTCATCTGTCTAATTCAGTCGGCTTGCCAGATAGTAAAAAAAAAAAAAACTCCATACATTCTTATCATTTATTATATATAATGGTATATAATAAATATATTTTAATTAAATAATTTAACAAAATAGTACAAATAACGAATAAGTTAATTGAAATACGCCGCAAACCAAACGTAAAAAATAATCAAGTTATTACATTTTTAATACGATTTTGCATGAATAATAAATTTAAATGTTAGGCCTATGTTATTATACAGTATTTACTATGGGTTTATAATTTATATACAGTATTTTTATTTTTGTACTATTTGTTAAACTTATATATAATAAATAATTTAACAAAATAGTACAAATTTATAACGAATAAGTTAATTGAAATACGCCGCAAGCCAAACGTAAATAAACACATTTTTAATACGATTTTGCAATTATACAACTTCATTTATTTGTATAAAAATGTACATAAAATTACATTTTTAATACGATTTTGCAATTATACAACTTCATATATTTTTATAAAAATGTAGTACATAAATATATTAAAATTCTAATTTTCAATTACACAATTATACATCACGAACGGCAATACGAGCAAATCAACGACTGACAAGACTGTGGGATGAATATGTAGCTGGTATCCGGGGGGGGGTTCATTCACTGATGACATCGGCAAGCCGACTACATTCACTGAGAGATGCACTCACTGAGAGACGCGCTTGGCGTTCCATAGAAATTACCGGCGGCTCAACTTGTCGGCGGCTCAACCGGTCATATCCCGGGCCTAACGCTAGGCTAGGCCCAAATCGGCCCCAATTCAACTCGGCTTCAAGTAGTCAACTCGGGCCCCAGGGTTAACTCGGCCCCTAATTTACTTACTTAGTTAGGTAATGTTTAGGCTAAATTAGGGCTACCTAGGCCTAGTAGCAGGAACCAGTCAATTCGAGCGGATGCCACTTCGAGCGAATGCCAGTCCGAGTGGAGAAAAAATTCACTTGTGCGAACAACAGCCTGTGCGAGTTATGTACGAATTACTTTAAAATTTCCTATTTTGAGCTAACAATTTGCATTCAGCAGGGGCTCAGACTTTGCCTGGGACCCAGGCACTGGCGTATCTAGGGTTGCTTGGGGGTGGGGGGTGGACGCCTTTCCAAAAATTACTCGCCTCCCATTTGCCCCTCCCCCAAAAAAAATCAAGTGCAAGTAGTTAAAAATCACCTTATTTTGCGAGTTAGCATCCCTCAACTGATCATCGAGTCACCCCCCCCCCCCCCCCACTTCACCTGCGCGCCCCAATCAGCACCCCCATTTCAAGACTTCTAGATACTGTACGTCACTGGAGCCAGGGGAAAAGCCTCAGTGGGGTCTGGGGGAGAAGCCTATAGCCTTATGTATAAAAAATTAATTGATTTATAAGATTAACAATTTACAATTAAACATAGGTCTACTGTACATTCATAAAAAATAATGTTAAGTCATTGTTATTCTGATCATCGAGCCCCCCCCCCCCCCCCACTTCACCTGCGCGCCCCAATCAGCACCCCCATTTCAAGACTTCTAGATACTGTACGCCACTGGAGCCAGGGGAAAAGCCTCATTGGGGTCTGGGGGAGAAGCCTATAGCCTTATGTATAAAAAATTAATTGATTTATAAGATTAACAATTTACAATTAAACATAGGTCTACATTCATAAAAAATAATGTTAAGTCATTGTTATTCTTTCTACATGCTAAGTTTTAAAAAAAGTGGGTTTTGAACTATATATGGTTGAATAGTGGAGAAAATTGGTATGATGTTTATTACTGTGCTGTTGATAGTCTTGCCACAGGGGCTGAAGGATCCAGAATTTTTCAAACGGGGGTAGGAGGGTGGGGCACAACAGTTTCAGAATAGACAAGTGAGTAGCACATAACATTAATATGCATTGACATTTTAAAAATTTAGTGGCAAGACTGGGGGGGGGCACGTGCCTCCCCCTGTCCCCTACACTGGATCCGCCCCTGTGTCACACTACTACACTAATGATTTGTGCACCTTCTGATACCATATACGAAAAAATAATTTAAATTTCTATGGTGAATAAAAATTACAACTACAGTTACTCCCATTTACAAATATAGGCCTAAATTGTAAATCTACAAATACTGAATACAACACTCAATTAACTGGAGACAAAAACGGTGAATTCTACGTGTGAAATTCTATAGTTTTAAAAAATAGGGCCTAAGTGCTTTCTAGCGGCCATCTTTCAGTCCGATTTGCCAAGACTGTAATTCAAACATGGAATAATTATCAAAAAGTACCAAAAACATTTCAGAACTTATAGTGCACAGAGCATTTTTTCTTTTTTTGCATTTAAAACAAACTTATACAAAAATAGGGCGACGATAAATTCGCCCTTGTTGTAGTTCGCAGTAAATGCATCAGCTCAAACTGGCATCCGCTCAAACTGACATCCACTCGAACTGACATCCGCTCGAATTGACTGGCCTCCCTAGGCCTGGTAGTAGTAGTAGGCAAAAAAGAATATTCCGCCATCCGCCGGGTGAACAATAAAAAAGTTATTCACCTGGCTGAATAAGATTAAAACGTTTATCCACACTGCAGAGTGGTGAAACGGCTATCCACTACTAGGCCTATGCAAATTTTTATTCATAGGAAAGTTTGGTAAAATCTAATGAATTATTCATCATCGTCATTATACAGTAGAACATACAGTGCTTTGTGTATGTGCTATTTTCAAGTCCGTGTCAGCCTGAATTATCAGCTGCTGTACAGTATAGTACTGTAGTACAAAAAATGTAGACCAAATTAAAAAATATTTGGTATGGAATTTAACATTACATGAAATCAAATATTGTACAGTACACAAAACCGAGCTAGGTAAATACACTTTAGATCCTTTTTGTATCTCTGTACTTGCCTTCCTCCTTTCCTACGTGTATATAATGTATATATACAATGTTTTTGTTTTGTGTTTATTTTGTTTTAAATGTATTACAGTGAATTTTTGTGGATGTAATTCCAAATTCCAAGCAGATATTGACCCTTGATGTCATTTGAAGCGCAATCAATTTTAATCTTTATGGCTAGAAATTATATTGGAATTGAAATGTTTTATTAAGACAAGCCAAACCAGTCACTCGTCGCAAATCGTGTTTCAGAGAAAATGGCCAAAACATGCTGGAATGTCAAATTTTAAAAAATCTTTTAATTTTTTTAATTCAATTTTATTGCACTAAACTAACCTTTATATACTTTCTATGCTGTTCTATGCTGTTATTTTCCGCATTTTCAATGTTAAAACAATGTTTTTCAAGGATTTAAAGACAGTTTCTGCATGAGAAATGCCTTAAATCATAAACTTTGACGGTTAATTTCTCATATATTGTTCTTTAAACAGCTGTGTGGTTTAACGCTTGTAACTTCATAAGGAAATGTCCGATTTGAATGATATTTTTACCATTTTATAGCTATTATTTTACTCTCTAACACTGCATTAATAACTCAAAATCGATTTTTGCGACGAGTGACTGGTTTGGCTTGTCTTTGCCACATATAAGGTACTACAGTATAAATTATTGACTGATTGGATCCATAACTTTTAAGTTCTTTTGACCAAACAACCTTGATCTCAAAATCCCAATTGTACCAACTGTTTTGTAACTGAATATGCTATACTGTTTATGATACAGTGTAAGCTATATCTTTAAATATTTTTATATTTACATTTTATGTTCATTTTTCGTTATATCACAGTTGGTGCCGTTATTTATATCTGTTGGTGCAGGAGCTCTGCTGGCAGCTTACTATTTAGGTAGACTAGCAATCAAAAGTCCAGATGCCAGGTATTCATTTTTTTGCTTGTATTTTAACTTCTTGTTGGTGGCCTTATTTTTGTCGGCAACAGTTCTCTACAATTTTTGAAAATTTTATAAATATAACTTATAAGAAAAAAATATTTAAAAAAGATGATTGCATATAAATCCTTGGCCATAAATATACTTAGTGTTCCCAAGCCCAACCAACCCAAAATTTTAAAAGGTTTTTTTTTTTTTACCAAGAGCAGCGCAAAATACGTTAATAAAAAAAAAATTGATACTTAACCACAGGTTTGTCGTCTATTCATAATTTTTTCAACCAAAATGTAAGGAGTGAGTAATACAGTAGGCCACATTGAATATGAGTATCATGAATCCTAGGCCTGTAATTAAAATGTTGACTGGCCCACTGACCCTGATTTTGAAATGTCAGTGTTGTGTTTTTTGTTTCCTTCACATCCAAAAGCAAGTATGCTTGCCACTTACAGGATGGAATGATGCTTTATAAACCAGGTCTCTTGTTAAGGCCTAGGGAGTGGAGTGGTTTTAGTCCTGAGAAAAACTCCTGCTGAGACAGCAATTGAACCCAGGACCCTTGGCTTAGAAGGCATCTTAACCACTAAGCTATTCAACTCCACTTGTTAGGCTGATATGACTGAGCTATACAGTCCATGGTTTGGGTAACAAGGTTTTAATATCTTAGCATGTAAACATGTTTTTATCCCCTACAGGTAGTTCTTATACTTATACTCATTTGATTTTCTTACAGCTGGGATAGGAAGAATAATCCACATCCCTGGACCAAGATCAAGCCAGATCAGAACATAAAGGTAAACATCAGAGAATAATTGGCTCTACTAATCCACACGTTTCATTTTATTAGCCCAACAATAATACAAAATAAACTAAATTGGTTAAGCTAGTGTGGTTAGTTTGTGCCTTACGGTCATTTATTCACGTATAGCTGGTTACTTGTAAGAACACACTGTCTGTGATGATAGATTTTCTGATATAATATCCAGGTAAAACACTGAACTCAAAAATTACATTACTTTTTTGTACCTTTACCATTTGTGGCAAAGACAAGCCAAACCAGTCACTTAACGCAAAAACCGATTTTTAGTTATTAATACAGGATTAAACAGTAAAATGAGAGCTATAAAATGGTAAAAGAATCATTTAAATCGTACATTTCCTTATGAAGTTGCAGGAATTTAAACATACAGCTGTTTAAAAAACAATATTTGAGAAATCAGCCTTCAAAGTTTACAATTTTGGGCATTTCTTAAGCAGGAACCATCACTAAATCGTTAAAAATTGTTGTTTTAACATTGAAAATGGGGAAAATAGCAACATAGTATGATGTATAGATATAAAAATGTTAGTTTAGTGCAATAAAATAGATTTCCAAAATGTTGACATTCCAGCATGTTTTGGCCATTATCAAAACAGGCTTTGCGACGAGTGACTGGTTTGGCTTGTCTTTGCCACATTTGTAGTTCAAGACATTTTCAAAATATTTGTTTTATTTTGTTTGTTTTGTAAAGGTTAGCCAATTAAAATGTGATTCTAAATTTCTTGCAGTTCATTGGTGCTGGAAATGTTGACTTCAAGAACAGGAAACAACATTACCCAGATTACAAGGATTAAATCACAATTAACTGCTGTAGAGAAACAAATTAATGGAGTTTATTGGAATGAATGCCTATAGTGTTCAAGATGAGATTGTATTTTTATCTTAACCATATTTGAAATTGATTATCCTGCTGCAGCATTCGCGGTTGCTTTGCATTACTGTACAATCATCTTCAACAGTCGTATTAAATAATGCACAAAACCTTTACCTCAGAAAACTAGAAATACAAGGTTATTATTGATATTATTGTTCATTATTCACACTGTTTGAAATTGTTTGCGTGAAAACTAGGGTACCATGTAATTTAATAGCCAATTTGAAGTGGATTTTTGAACAAAAGTCAGATACTTAAAATATCACACTAACTGGTTATAATGTTACATAGTGTTGAAATAAAAATAAATAAGTTAATATAGAAGGTCTTGTGAATTTTATTTTGAATTCAGGGTCGGATTATTGTGAGCAATGGGTATCTGTTTTGCCAACCTTTGGCTACCGTGGTGTAGAAGCATGTGACGCAGTGTGTAAGGTGTTGGGCTTTTCGAGACCGATGCTTGTTGCATTGCTCGTGTCCTTGTGCAATTGGATTGGTTTTATTCGGTGTAAACACCAAGGATAGTCAGTGGGGTCCTTCTGGTTTTCCGAAGAGTGGGAGATTGGGCCATAATGCACACAAGACCATCGGCTTAAATGTCTCATCCAAAAGACGGTGTGCTATCGTAACTTGTATTTCAGCCCTCCAGCTGAAACACAAGGAGAGGCAGCGATGGCAGTTGAACCAGGAACCTAGATATCTCCACGGTTCAGCGCACACACAATGGCTACCACCAGATTAGCCAACTGAGCTGAGCTGCTCCCGTAAGATTTTATCTGCATTTGACTCTCTCTAAAGAGTATAAATAGGTATCTGCTTGGAGGTGAATGATTTTAGAATGAGATTAATAGTGCTGATTACACGCATAACTTGGAATACTTCCCAGGGAGCGGAGGAGGTTGCACATACTGTATGACTGATTTTGTATCCAATGACCAGGGAAAAAGGTGCCTTGAGCATAATTGGATATGTGCACTATATAAATCTTATAAAAAAAATAATACTGGCATGTTATACCAAGAAATCTAAGAGGACATTCTAAAGTGAATAAATATAATACTGTAATAATAATAGCGCATATTGTGGACATTTCTATGCGCTTAACATTACCCCCGGTCATAATGTTGCAGCTGTAATCAGCGCATTTTGTGCTTGAACTCCTGGGTGGAGAGACAACCGTAGGTAAAGTGCATTGTCTAAAGACACAAGCGGAACTGCAGAGTGAGGGATCGAATCCCCGATCTCATGGGGTGTATTCGAAACGCTGTCGGAGAACACGTTCTGGGAAGTCTCGAATACCACGGAACACGTTCACGAACGCGTTCTTGTTCTCAAAACTCACACTACCTCGATAGTGGGTGTGATGAAGAATAAACATGGCGGAGGAGGCAGGTTCTCCTACCAAGTAAGAAAATGTCCAAGGATACTACTAAGGGGGCGATAGCAGCTGATGGGGAAACTGATACTGATAGGGAAGATATGCATTTGTGAAAATGTAATTAATGTGTATAGAACTTCTCATTTTGCGCGACAAACCTGCGATCGGACAGCAAGTCGAGCAGTGAAATGAAATTAAAAAGTTTCTGAAACATTTTCGTGGCAAAGCAAAGGCTAAATAACACCGTTTTATTTTTCCTTTTGTATATCAGTAAAAACTTACACATCGTTGCAGCCAGCTCTGTGTCAGTAAACGCCATATTGATACAAAACGTTGTCATAGAAACTGCTCTTGGCCGTTCAAAACTCAAGAATTTGTTCTCGGGTTTACGTCACGTTCGTGAACACACAGGAATAGCATTTCGAATACACCCATGGTGAAGCAGAACTACTAATACAGTTCATGTGCAGGGAAACAATCACCTACTCTTGAGTGGGAGTGGGAGATTGGGCCATAATGCACACAGGACCATCGGCTTAAATGTCTCATCCAAAAGACGGTGTGCTATCGTAACTTGTATTTCAGCTCTCCAGCTGAAACACAAGGAGAGGCAGCAATGGCAGTTGAACCAGGAACCTAGATATCTCCACGGTTCAGCGCACACACAATGGCTACCACCAGATTAGCCAACTGAGCCGAGCTGCTCCCGTAAGATTTTATCTGCATTTGCCTCTCTCTAAAGAGTATAAATAGGTATCTGCTTGGAGGTGAATGATTTTGGAATGAGATTAATTAGTGCTGATTACACGCATGCAGAGTGAGGGATCGAATCTCCGATCTCATGGTGAAGCAGAACTACTAATACAGTTCATGTGCAGGATTGTGAATGGTTGAAAATATGAAAACCTAGAAATTGCTGAGAAAAAAAGAAACCTGCTGACAGACATTGTAGCCCACATTGTGACTTTACACAGCACATAAGAATACTTGAAAGTAGGGAGATGAAAAATAAAAATACCAACCAATGTCAAGTGTTGAGCCACAATATTTTCTATACAGATTTCATTCACGTTCGAAAAACAACACAAGCCGACTTCTTGGAGCCAATTAATAATGAGAGGTGGTGGTCCTGAATCTTTAATAAAGTACTGTGTATGTTCAGGGAAATCATTTGCAGTATCTGTATTTACATTTCAAATTTACTATTACTTTAATATTGGAGTATGTATTATACTACTGTATCTTATCTGAGATTAATCAGTGGACCTTTTGGTTGGCTATTTTAAAATCTTAACATAATATGTTGTAATTTCCAAGTTGTCTTGTGATTGTCATGTAATTTTGATCCTTTTTTAATCAAAATGTTGCAACAAATTTCATATTTGAAAATGGGACAACTAAGTGTTATTGAATCTATTTTCACATTATAAAAAAGCTTGAAACTGAAAGTTGCACTGAATAATTGCAGATAAAAAAGTATAATACATACTCCAAGAATTTAAATGTACGCCATCATGTTGGGATTCCATATTTCGACATTAAGTATGTCATCATCAGGAATGACATACAAAAGCTTTGTAAAGGAACAGATTAATCAAGGGAAGCTCAACTAATGCCAATTTATACGCCCGCTATACCTGCTGTCAGAACTTGTTGCCTAGACAGAAGCTTCAGTCACACCGCAGTTCCCCTAGGAAATAGTTTTCCATCACAGATGATCGTATTGAAGCCTTCCAGTGCTATGCCTTTATACTCCCTATCAACATTTTTACTGGAAGAACCTATTTGTAGCAATGAAGCACTGAGTGGCCTCTCAGAGCTTCTTTTTACCATAGCATTTCAGAAAGCAACCCTGGCAGTGGCATATCTAAGGGAACAGGCACACGTCCCCAAAAAGCGCTCACCACGCTCCACCTCCCCTAATCCAATTTAAAATGTTCAAAACAAAAAAAAAAACTCCTCATATCACCTTAATGCGGGCAAGCGCCCATTCACTTTACATGTATCATCATTGAGCCTCCAACTTCACTTTTGTGCTCCACCCACCCCATTTCAAGACTTCTGAATACACCACTCAACCCTATTATTAAGCACATTTATCAATGGAAAACATTCCTGTGTCAACAACCATACAAATAAATTAAAAGTACAAGAAAATTGTATATAAACTCAAAACATTCATTTTCACAGAAATTTTATTTACCATCTTTAAACGATGTTGTTGTCATCTTGAACCATAATCATTTTATAGATATCACCAAACAGTTGGGAAGAAGTTCTTCCTTTAGAACTTTGTATTCCAATAAACATTAAGCCCACTCTTAGAATAGTGGGTTAATAATAGGTGGGTTACTATTACACTAATTCTACTCTTGCAGTAATATTTTAATCAATTTAGACACTTTGAGTTGAACATCTACAGTACTTAAGTTTTTTAATTACTTCAGGCACTTCTAAAAAAGGTACTGTACTAACACTAAAAATGAAATACAGTAAAATTATTGTTAAGAGATTCTTAATAATTAAAAATACATATGTTATCTTTTTTTTCTTTCAAGAAGATCTAAGAATTTAATTTGGTTTTCACTTTTCTTTAGCCCACAGGACATGAGTCGATAGAAACATTTCCAAATTTCTTTTTTCCAGATAGAATGATGGTTTCTCCATTTATTTTGATGTTTTTCAAACATCCAACGAACTGCTCTTCACTTGATGTGTGATCAACAGGTTCAACATCTACAAAATAAAAAAAATTAAAAATATAAGAAGTATAATGTGAGGCTGCAATAAACAGACTATCAACATTCCTAATGCTTTTACCTGCTTCCCAGCTGTAAGTAAATCCAAACTCCAGCCCAAAACTGTTAATACCTCCTAATACTGCAATCCCTAAATTGACTTGATCAAATACACTAAAGCACTCCCCAATGACTAATAAGCCCATTACTGTTAACCCCCCACCCCCAAAAAGCAATTTAGTTCAGTATAAAATGACACAGTACCTGGTATGCCACCAACGTAGAGAGCATCGGTTGTGCGGGCACTCTTTTCCTGCGCACCTCGAAGCTTCTCTTCCGTCAGAATTCCATCTACAGTCAACGTGATTGTACTTTTTCTTTTCTCAACTGCAAAAGTTAACAAACATTTTATAACAAAATACAATACTGTACATCCAAAACAAGATTTTACTAGAAATTTTATAAGGTGATGACATTTATTTTTCCAAAATAGTTACTTGATTCAGCATCCTGAAAATTATGGCCCTGTCACACCTTGAGGATTTAGCCAGCGTATTCAGACATATGAAAAAATTGGTGAATACACTGGCGTACGTCGAATAAGTTATTGGTAAGTTTCGTATAAGTTTAGAGCACGCTGGCGTACGCCCTAGTATGGCTAGTACGTCGAAAAGTTTTATGTATGCTCAAATCTTTTCGACGTACGTATGCATCCTTCACCAACTTCTTGCATATGCCCCAGCAATGTTCGACGAGCTGCTAGCCTGAGTGGGTCCAAGGATAACCAAGCAGTACACCTTCTACAGGTATCCGCTTGAGCCTGGATCGAAGCTGACCTTTGCGTCACCTTGCATCTGGAAACAAGTATACCTCAATGAAGTTCACTACCCGTCCGTAGTGGTCAGAGAAGTGTCAAGCCATTATTGACAAATACGTAGATGAGGTGCTGGTTTGCCTGATGGTTGGCGCGCCATAGCTGACAAGCTCTTCCAAAGATGGAACTTTCCCCATACATGATGGGAAGCATGTGGCTTGTCGCTGTCCTTCAAAGAGTGGGTCCCAATACTTCAACTACAAAGGATTCTACTCCATTGTTTTGATGACATTGTGAATGTAGACTACAAATTCATTTGGACAGTTGTCGGTGGTACTGGATCAGCTTCAGATGCGCAGATATACAATGACTGTTAGCTGAAGAAATGCACTGAAGATGGCACCCTAGGTTGCCCTGACACTGAGCCTCTTCCCAATGACAACCAAGATGTGCGCTACTTCTTTATTGGTGACGATGCCTTTGCCCTACGACCAAACATGATGAAGCCATACAGCCGGGGTCTGACGAATGGACATCTTCAACTATAGGCTTTCCCGAGCAAGGAGAGTGGTAGAAAAAGCTTTTAGTATCTTGGGCAACAGATTTCAGGTTCTGCTAGTACCATGCAGCATCACCCCTTCACTGTCAAGCTCATTGTCAAAGCATACTTGACCCTGCATAACCTCATGTGGATCAGGTAAGTTCATGTTTACATAGCGTATCTTATACAATGCATTTTAACTTTTAGCCTATATTTTTAATTATTTTGATTTTACCTTTAATTTTTAATGCATCATTTACTTTTCATTGTACAGCACCTTGAATGTCTTTATTATGGGTACACTTCATAAGTAAATAAAATCAAATTCCAGGTACCCAGGACTACGGAACCAGCAGCTTGACTTGTAATTATTTATCCCAGTGGTTGTGTAAGAGGTAGTTCTTGGAATAGCTTAGGATATAATGTCCATGTCTCACATTTGTTGAGCAGACCTCACATCTATTGAGCAGACAGCGCTCTCACCATGAAGGTTTTCGGACGAGTTTGTATGTCGGGCGTATAAGACCACCCCACATTTTACCGTCGGAATTCATACTTCTTGCTGCTTGGTTTTGATACTGCATCTAGTTGGCTAAAAATGGAGTCAAACTTAGGGTGGACACCCAAATTAAAACAGGCTTTTAAATATTAATCAGAATCTAGATTCCCAGTACTTAAAATTTTTTTATTCAAACTAACATTTAGTAAGTTCTATGCAGTAGTAAATCCGCATGTTATGGACGATAAGCACATAAAACGATAATGGTTTCAAAAAATATATTTGTATGTTGCGCATATAAGACGACTCCTGCTTTTATTTATTTTTCATTATTATATTTTGCTATTTTAAGAAACGCCTATACCCGAGTGTATACGGTATAATTTTACTTGTAAATTATTGGTACTGTAATACATTTGTATTGACTGTAGAAGATTGGGGAGAGTTGTGAGTCACTTCTTGATATTTGGCCATTGTAGGTTGCAACTTTGTACTAATTAAAAATTGAGCTCCTATGTTATAATGCAGTGAGGGTTTTGATATTAAGTTTATTACGTTTCAAAGTAATAATCGGTTTTAAACAAAGTGGCTTAAGTCCCTTTCAGAGTGAGGAGAGTTATCCACTCACGGAAGAGTTGGCCATTTTGTAAATAGGATAAGGAAATAGGTTTTGTTTTTGGACGAGTCTTCATGGCCTAGTGTCAAGTGCTCGTATACATGATTTTTGTAAATGGAAATATAATGACATTTACGAACATACAGTGGCCTTTGAAATTCAGATATTGTAGTTAATGGATCGTTTTCCAGGTTACACAATCATCTTTGATATGTACATATATATATTTGTTGATTTAAAGATGGATATCTGGGGTTGGGTCATTTGTAATATAATACTAGCAATCAAAGAACGCTCATCAGCCAACTCACACGTTTGATCAGTCATTCTCATGTAAAAGTTGTTTTTATTAGCAATAACAAGATGCATTTGATAATTACTCAACATGAGGAAGTATAATGGCTACTACTTCGATGTCACACAGACTCTGAATTGCTAGTGTCAAGGTCGCCTGAACTATGGTTCAGTACCTGGCCAGCCGAACCTAGAATAGCAGATACAGAGGCGGAGCTTGGCTGCTGCGCAATCTGAGGCGGCTTCATCTGCTGGTACTTATGCTGCTGCTGTTGGTAGTGTGGCTGCAGTGGCTGCTGCATGTACTGGTCCACATAGTCAGCTGTCTGTGATCCCCAGACTGACGCAGCCAGTGCTTTGTGTCTCTCCACATGTGTGGAGGTGGTCATGCTTACCAGGTTGTCACGCACATAGTTAGCGAAGGCTGCAGTGCCTGTGATGGTCTGAGGTTGAGACCTTTGAAAGCTCCCCAGACTCGTGCACCCTCTTTTGGAGTGACTGTAGCAACTGGTCATCATCCTTGCCATGCTTGCTCTTGCGCTGTAAGGATGAGGGGACAGTGGATGGCGTGCTGTCGTCACCACAGCCTCAAGGTCCCCGTTGTGTGCTGCAATAGTTGACTTCACCTGAAATTATGACAACTGAATAATAAAATACCAAGTCAAAAATACTGTACAAAGCAAATTCAATGATTTTTAATCCCAATAAAATTAATAGTAATAAATATTAATATCATTAATACTACTGGTTTATAGTTATACTCACATTGTTGACTGGCTCAGCATGATGGCAGACCAGTCCTAAGAAAGCAGCCTTCACCCACTGCTCACTCTCTGTCAGTTCCGGGGCGCCGTCACCACTCTTCTTTTTGTCGTGACGGGTGTAGGTGTCTCTCAGGGACTTAAACCACCCTTGCAGGTGTTCAACAGTTTTGTCTATTACCTTACTGTGGTACTCCCAGAGCTTAGCCTTCTTGTCCACCCTCCGGTAGTCAGTTTTTTTTTTATGTCCTCACGAATCGCACATAAGCTGTTCCTCTTCAACATTAAGACAAAACTGTGTCTTCTTAGCCCTCTTCTTCTTGGCAAGGGTTGGCTGAGAGAAGATGGAGGCTATGGACGCTAACGATGCCTGAAAGGCGTAGGAAGCAGCATCATCTCCACCCCAATGTGAAAGTGAGGGTATTGGTGATGGTGAATTCTCCTTGTGTGCACGTCTACGGCACTTTTTGGCAGCGTTTTTTGAAGCTTTGCTCAGCATGATGATGATCTTGCGGTATGAGTTGAATCGTTGAGCGAGGCAGTCTCTTTACATGCTACATCACGAGGTTGTCACGTGATCTTTGAAGATACGCTTCCGCACGCTATGCTTCAGTTGGACTATCATTGGGCGTAAGTTGTGTACGCCGGCAACACACTAAGCATTCGTTGGTAGAAGTTATAAGTTAACGAAACGTTTTATATAAGTTACTAATATGTTATGAATACGTCCAACTCGTTATGGACACGCTATGTATATGCCCAAAATTGAAAAAAAAACATCAATAGTTCAGGATATGCCAGCATTTTAGAGAAATTTTGATACGTTGGCATATGCTGGCTAAATTGTCATGGTGTGACAGGGCCTTAACAGCAATAATAATCCTCCAAGAGTGGAAGACATTGCACATTGACGACACAAGTCAAGGCATAAACAAGTAACAATTATTGGTTTTATACTATACCTGTGACATTGTGCCACTGCCCATCGCAGATTGACATCCCAAGGTGCTTGCTTGATGCCTCAAACGGTTGCTCTCCATTGCTGGCTCGGGCAATAACGGTACCTTCGACTATCTCCACAACGAAGAAATATTTACCTGTGCGTACAGACATTAGAACCCCATCTGTGACACGCGGCTTCATTTCAAATTCAACATCAAACATTTTCCCCACTTTTTCTTCTTCAACTGTGAATAGAGAAATACCTACTAGTAAATTTCCTCTCATAAGGACATATGATAGTTATATTAGTCAAATAACTAAAATTATGCAACATAGCCTTGACTCCACCACCCCTCACCACCACACTCTATGTGACCATATTTTAAGTAAGCATGAACTAGCAATTATAATAATGATAATGATGCTAGGATTTATTTAGCATTAAAGTATCAGAAAGTCATATGATTTTACTCCAATCCATTAATTCAGAATATCTAGATAATGTAATGCAATAATACATATGCTGATAATAATGAAAATATGATGATATTGGCTGAATTTTTGTTCTGGAAAGTGTGATAAGCGTAAAGAAGCAGTTCTTACTCAGAACCAGATACCCATTTTGTACAAATAAGCCTTGTTCTGCTCCACATGGAGTAACATCAAATTTAACAGGATTCTGATCAACAACCGCAATAGCATTGTCCTTAACAACAGCTGAGAAATCCTTGAGACAACCAACAAATCCAATCTGAGATGAAAACTGAAGAAACAAATAAAAATTAAATGGTTATAAAATAGCACATTCTTCCTTAAAACTCTGACTAACCACTACATTAATGATTTCCCGATATACTCCATCTCGCCATCTCCGATCATCCTCTCAAATCCTTCTTTCTGTCTCCAAATGCCGTACCAAAACCTACGGTCAATGTTCTTTTACTTTTGCTTCTGCCTATTTCTGGAACCAACTTCCAAATTACATAATTTCTTCCAACTCTATTTGCAACTTTAAGTTTAAGACCTATTTGTTTTCCGGTGGCTTTTCACATGCGTTGCGCCTTTGATCTTGTTTGGAATTGGCACCATATAAATTCAAGATATTATTATTAAAGCTACAATGTCATGTTTTATGTTACGAGAGAATTGTATTGTTTGTATTTTATTACATTCGCATCCAGCAGCAAGTTAAAAACTCAAGTCTCATTATCCTGATTTCCCACAAGATTTAACCTAAATCCCTGGGTTTGATAGACAAGCATTTTCACCACCAAGCTACAATTCCAATTCATATGTTGAAGAATAAAATAGTGTAAAATTATTGGAGACACTAATAAAAAAAATGGCCATTAAAAGTTATTTTTCCTTCACAAATTGACTTCAGGGCATGTGGGACATTCTGGAACTAACAGCTCCTTTAAGTTCTTGTTTTCAAACAGTGGTTTTAAATCTTTATATAAATTCCTTAATATAAAGATTAATTGTTATTTTTTTACCATTATGCTTGTGATGATAATAAAGTAGATCTTAAAACAGAACCAACAAAAATTGTTAAAATACACATCAAATGTGATGTTGGTGGGCACTTGGTGATTTAACAGGTTTGTGGCATGAAATCATCCATCCTAGTATTCTGTATGACAGGAATAATTGTTGTAATATCTTTATTTCCACTTAGCTGTACACTGACATTACACTTATAGTTTAGTAAAATCTGCATTGGAAATATTATATCAATTCATTTTGCTACCATGATATATTTTGCTTTATTTTAATCAATGAACTGTATATTTATCTACTCTATAACGTTGATATACCAACCCATGCTTTAGTACCAAACAAGAAAGAAATTAGTTTTAAAAATATAATAATAAAATTAGGTATAGCATACTGGCACATGTTTTTCTGGGACTTCCTGTGGAACTCCACCAATGTACTGTGGTGCTTTAATCCTGTTAATATCTTTAGATTTGCCAAATATTCCCATGCTCAAAGCATCATCAACAGTCAGGCTTCCATTGTTTTGATATCTGTAAGCTTCAATCTACAATAATAGCAAGACAATGAAACATTCTCAAATAAAAAAATGTCATGTTATTACATGAATACTAAATGAACACACTAATGCAACTAAACCTTTAAATCTAAAAATAGAAAAAATTTGCAAACACAACATTGAAAATACTATCAATTTATTTAAATTGTTGATTTCCAAAATAAAATATTGCAATGAAGAATCTCTGTCAAGCCTAGTTACTGTAGCAATATGATGTTCTTGTATAATAATTAATTTGCAACTAATTCATCAATCATTCAATCAATCAATAATTTATAATAATTATGATCCTAACCCGAGGATGCATAGCTAGAATGTTATATACTATGAATTTTGTTTTTTGTTGTATGGAAACCTTTTCTGAAATAAAATATTGAATGAATGAATTAAATCTTTCTAAACAATTCTTTTTTTATTATACTGGCTTTGGTCAGAGTAATCTCCTCAAAGGTATAAACAACATTTAACCAATGTTTTTTAAAAAAATAACCTGTTAATACATGTACCAAAACTAACTTAAATGAATTATTAATCATCATCATCTAAATTATCAATACAGTAGAACTCCTATTAAGGGCACACCGTCGGGACCAAAAATTGTTTCCTTAATAGGGGTGGACACTAACCAAAAGCGTTTAATTGTCCCCTTAATAGGGGCTATTTGACCATTTGCAGTGGTCCCAAGTTGGAAGAAGTCATTTCCGGGAGATCTGCGGTGGCAGGTCATGGGGAGGGGGGAGGCCGCCTTTGAAGGGTGTGGAGGAGGCATGGAGTGACTTTCACAGATGGAGGGATGAGGGTCTAGACCACATCAGCCCCACCATTCCGGGAGCTTAGGTAAGAAAAATTCTAGTACCTCTAGATGCCCTGAAAAGGCCCTCTCCAGACTTGAATTTCAATATAATTTTCTTTTCTACCCCATTTTTTCATAATTTTGAAATATTCCACCGCCATTGAATCCACCACTGATCTGATTACTTAGCTTTCTTAACATTTAATTTTATTTTCCTGCACATAGTGATACCCATTGGCACTGACTCCCTTGAGATTCAAAATTATGAATTTGCAGAGATGGGTTGATTTCTGGAAGATTCTTGCTCGCTTGCGGGAGTGCAGGAGGCTCCCACGAGTTCCGGGAGACTTGGGACCCCCTGCCATTTGGCACACTCAGGAAGTGTCCCCTTCCCTTAATAAGGGTGTACCCTTAGGGTTAGCTGTAGTGTTAAAAGATATATTTTCCCTTGTTTCACAGAAAGGGTCCCCTTAATAAGGGTGTACCCTGAATAGTTGTCCCAAAGGAGGGGTTCTACTGTATCTATTTTTCAATAAAATACAAAAACAAAACACCACAGTTATTACAATACACAGTTCAGCACAACATAAGCATAAAATATCAGAAACAAGCACAGGCACGATAACCAACCAACAATATCTAGGTGGTGTTCTGTTGCACTGTTCAAATTAATCTTTGATAACAAATTCCTGGAAATTGGAGCATTAGGTGTATTTATTATTACTAGTGTGTACAAATCCCTATAATGGGATAAGAACCAAGTTTAGTGATTCCTTTTAACAAACCTTGTGCCAGGTTCCATCATTGACAAAAGTGCTGCCTCTAACAACAACTGCTCCTGACCCACAATCAAAGGTGAAGACAACCTTTCCGCTTGCAAGATAAACAGTCAGGAAGTCTTTTGCACCTGCAGCGTAATACAGAATGCCGTCCTCACTTTCTGTCTTTATACTCATTTTTATCGAACCCCTAAATATGAAAAATAAAAATAATATAAAAATAAATTAACAAGAATACAAACACCTGATTAATGGAGATGGTCTAAGCTTCAAATTTTTTTAAATTTTTTATTATTCTTTCTTTATACTGAATATACACTTTCAATACATAGTACTGGTTTCCAAAGTGGTTCAGTTCTTAACTACACAAATTTTAAAAGCAGACATATACACATTGAAACCAAAAGAGATTAATAACTTAACTACAAATTAAAAAAGATTTAAAAGGAATATGGAAAAAAGACGTGGATACAATACTGAATTTCTTCTCAATAAGGCATTTCATACCTGGGCTCAGTGTTTGGAATCAAATGATTATAAAATTGTAGGTATAATTTTTTTTGAATATTAATCTGTTGTCTGTCTTTCAATAACATATTTCTTCATAATTTATAATAGACCATTAATCGTCTAACTAATATTCTATAGCAATAACTATATTAGTAGTTAACATCTAACGATATAGAATATGAACTGTCACTGAAAATTTGGTTTCTTTGGAGAAGTATTATAGTCAAGGTCGAGCGAGAACGGCGCCATCTTTGTTGTAGTATCGGTGAAGCTACGTGACCACAACTCAAGGGGATTTCGCCCAAATCAGGAACTGTTGCATATGTAGCTAGTAAAACATGTTAATTTCTCCTTTTGGAAGCTAAACGTAATGTCCCTTTTCTTGAACACACTGGAGAAAATAATTGAAAATAATTTGTTTAGGCTAATTGCCTATTCCCTATTCAAAGCACAGTATCAAACTCAGAGCTCAATCATATTTATATGAGGCTTTTTGCATTATGTGTTTTACACATCTATTATTATTCTTTCCTGGCAATGATTTATCTTGGATGCTGAATAAATATTATTATGCTTCCTCCAGAAAACAATAATAATGATAATGATAATAATGATATGAATAATTATTATCATCATTTTTTCGAGCGAGCCAAATGGCTGAGCAGTAAAGGCAGGGGCACCGTGATAATAGCCAACAATATCGGCACAGGTTCGCGGCTGGCTCGCTCCTATAGTTCTGGTGGTAATACAAGTCTTCTCAGATAAGGACTATAAACCGTAGGCCCAGTGTACACAAATGCTCATGTGCACTTTAAAGAACCCAGTACATCTTTCGAGATGAGTAGGGGGTTACCCTGGTGTACTAGTTCACTCGGCCCCTGTCGTGGACAGGTTTACTAGCTGCAAAAGACATCAAGTGACCCCCAGGTGAGAAGAACGTTATTGAAAAGTGCAACATCTAGTCCCGAGCGCATAGAGACCTTCTTTATTTACGCTATATAAATCCATCTATTATTATTATTAGTATTATTATTATTTTTTTATTAAGTATTATATTTGTATCTGTTGGCTTATTGTATTTCAAGGTGTATTTTGATTTTATCTTGACTTTTAAAGACTTTTTATTTATTTATTCTGTCTTTCTACTGCATGCACTGTCAGTACTTGTGTACTGTTTTTCAAAGTGGTACATTACATAAAATACAAAAGTTAAAAGAAAAGTAATTAAAAAAAACATACATATGTATAAATAGATTTTCATTTTTAACCTCTCTGTTGTGAAATAAGCTCATTTCAGTTCTTTGTATTGTCATGTATTTTTGAGAACAACCAAATGAATGAATGTTGCAAAATCTGTAACTTGCTCATGTATCGGTGTGATTTGATACCTTTCATGCCTATATGTATGGAAAATCTACAAATAACAGCACTGATGTTGATAAACCCCTGCACAAAAGTAGAATTGTCCATCCCAAGGCACCACATGACTGCACAATGTTCATATGCTAACATGTGGTAACCAGAACTACGCAAATATTCACATTCGATTTACCCAGGTAAGTACTGACAAAAAGGATATACAAATCATGAATCATGTAACATGCTGAGCATCTCCATGGATAGATACTGGCGTACATTTTTTTTATCCCAGCCATTGCTATCTTCGTCACCGGTTAAGTTCTTCATTATTCTTATTATCATCTTTTTGGATTTAACATAAATCAATATTGCAACTTTAAACAATTCTGTATGATATATGATTGTTATTATATATGATCATTTAAACTTTGAATTTGTTATCATTTATAAAAAGTTATTGGGCCTTAAAGCATGCTTGCCAGCCTACAACCCTGATACATTGGCACCCCATTATGGAATGGTTGAGTCCACTGTAATAAATTTGAGGAAGATTGCTGTTGTATAACACAGATATATTAAGAAATACATACCTTTTACGGAATTCACCATCAAATACTGACACGTTCCTAAGCTCAATTCGACTGTTGGCTTCATTTCCAAACTGGAATCCCTCTTCTGTCACACCGTCATTATCCGGGGGAAGTAGAGCACAGGATTCCGGAGAGACAGTGGTAGCACTATCCTGTTCATCTACAATGCTTGGGGGTGGTATAACCACCGGCACTCCCACAATACTATCTAGCCTACAAACTCCAAATTCGGCCTCTAAATAATCATTCATGTCTCTGAATGACTGGACTCTGAAGGGACAAAAACACAGTTGTTTTATATTGTGTTGCTGATGATGTGTCTATCGGCCAGAGGATATTCACCTTAGAGGTGGCTGCAGTTATGGGTACAAAAATTACAAGCAGCTTCTGAGGGGTGCAACCCATGAGAGGTTATACCATCTGCACTCTTAAACTTGAAAAAAAATTTGAATTGCTTACTTTGTATAATTATTTTCTTTCTGTTGAAATTTAAAACAAGAAAATGCACAACAAAAACTGATGCACATAAAGTTCCTATATTTATTCAAAGACCCTTTATTTTTTGTATTGTAGTACTGTAAATAGCAGCTTAGCTAAAACTAAATGTTTTAATCTCTGTCACACTAGAAATAGATAAGATCATGATTGCTATAGTTTCATAGAAGTTATATAAATAACAAGTTATATGAAATATAATTCAAATAAATTGATTTAAACTTACTTTTCATTGATTATTAGATCTGCAATACAGCCAATGAAAGGTTCACTATTAGCATATTCACCAATGAAAATGTCTGAACCAAACTGAACACCCCAATCATCAGATTCATTTACCACGCCATAAGTAACATCATCTAAGAGCAGGGCAAGTCTGAATTGCAATGAAAATACATAATCAATTTATAGTACATATCAAAATTATTACTAAGGTTTCAAAATATGACACTAGTACTGAAGCTCTATGTAAACTAAACTGAAACAGACTTGACACAAAATTGTTCTATAATGAAGCTGTGGCAATGTACATGTTATGAATAATTTAAGCCCACAATATGTTATAAACAGATTTCATACCAAAGAAAAAATACATAATACTCGATCAAAACAGGGGTGGCGCCAGGATTTGCCTGACAGGTGAGGCCGAGGTCCCCAACAGGTGGAGGGGGGTGGCCGGTGTCCCCGACGAGGTTTCAAATTTCCCCGATGAAAGCAAAGTTGGTGTGGTCAAGCTTCGATTAAAAGACTACGAAAGTGGTCCTGGGGGCGAAGCCCCCTTTAAAATTTAGACAATTTAGGGGTTTCAAAGGCTTATTTAATCGATTTTAGAGTCTACTAATATGTAAAAAAAAAATAAATTTTTTTCTCCATAACCAATTGTGCTTTTTCTCCCCGACAGTGGAGGGGGGTGGTACTGTAGATAATTTTAGTTTACTGTTACCAGTACTTTCTTTCATTTTTCTTTTGCTTTTAAATCTTTTGTTTTACTGAAGTAGTTTAAAGCCCCATTCCCGGCAAAATTTCAGTTTTTAAGAAAAATCTAATTTTTGTATAATGTTATAAAGATTTATAAACATAATACGGAATTGCTAGTTTAACTGAATTTAGACATTCCTAAGAATGTTAAAAATGTAAAATAAGACTGAACTTTGATTTTTTTGTGTTCCACACAAAAAATAAATGCAGATGAATTTTTCATGTTTGATTTTGCGATAGGTCACGAGAAAAAATATATTTACTTTTACAGTGTTTAGTCTGCACTAATTTCAAAAAATTTCAGTTTTTCGAACAGAGGGCACGGCCATGGGATCGCCTTTATCCCCAGTCATTGCCAACATCTTCCTCGAAGAGTTTGAACGACTAGCGCTTCTTTCAGCCACCAAACAGCCAAAACTCTGGCTCTGATACGTCGATGATACTTTCATCATTTGGCAACACAGTAAGGTGTACCTAGATGATTTTCTAGATCACCTGAATTCTCAGCACAAATCAATCATGTTTACCATGGAGGAGGAACACAATCGCTCTTTACCCTTTCTTGATGTTTTGGTAACCAGACAGGACGCAGAGACTTTGTCACATGCAGTCTATTGCAAACCAACACACACCGACAGATATCTAAACAAATGCTCGTTTCACCATCCGTCCACCAAGAAGGGAGTTTGTAACACACTCATCAGAAGAGCACATTGCATCAGCGACCACAACTCCATCAGGAAAGAAGTGCAACATGTTAAGGCAGCCCTTAAACTTAATGGTTATCACACAAGAGACATTGCTACACCCAGACCCAGCAACAGGCTAGATAATGCAGAATCGAGAAAGTCTGTGTGTTTACCATATTTGGGACAGCTTTCACACCGCATTCAATGCATTCTATCACAAGCCGATGTCAAAGTGTTTCATAGCGCACCCAACAAACTATCCCCAACTCTACAAACACACAAGAACAAACCACCAGCACAGAGTCAACCAGGAGTTTATCGGATCCCGTGCGAATGTGGGAAGGTTTACATTGGTGAAACAGGACGAGATCTCCGCACTAGGCTCAAGGAACACCAAGGCCATGCCAGGAGAGGGGAACAAGAAAAATCTTCTAGTCATGCATTCCCATAGTCAACAACACCGTGTACATTGGGACAAAGCCGAACTAATAGCCACCGTACCATCTTGGCACTCCAGAAGGACTAGAGAAGCCATCGAAATTCACAAACACAATACTGTAAATCAAGACATCGGATTTGTCATTAGCGATATTTGGCTGTCCATGTTTAATCGGACCTAGCAAAGCCCCACCATTTCCCACCTTCTGGAACTATGCCTTTGTTTTTGGTCGTTCCCACCCACTTTCCCGCCCTGGAACCATGCCTTTGTTTGGGCGTTCCCACCCTTTTGTTTTGTTTTCGTGAACAATGGCTTTTGTTTTAGCCTCTCACTAGCAGTCTTCTCATTGGTCAGTTTATCCATCCAATCACCATCCAGCTTGTGTTTTAGCCTTTCACCCATTGGTCAGTTTACCACCATCCAGCCTCTCTACCCAAACATATAAGTATTCCCCTATTTGGAGTGTCTGCAGATATTATTCTCCTGAAGACGATTGAAGCATCTCAATCGAAACGTTGAGACTTTCTCAACAACAACAGTTCTTTTCAGAACTACTTACGTGGTGTACCGCAGGCTTCAACATATATATATAGAAATTTGAAGACATAATTTCAGAAATACATTTACAAACTAGAGAAGTCTGCATAGCTTTCTATCTTGTTGCTGTCTTACCTCATTGAACGAAATAGTGAAGAGTGTGCCATTTGATTTTATGGTTCGAAATGACAGCATCAGTGAGAATTCTGTGGCCAACTCTTCTTGCAAGGGCATTTGTACGTAGCCAGGTTTAAGTAGACTCAGCTGATAAATTGGCTGTAAACATCAATAAAATTCTGGTGAAATTTTGATGGCATATACTAAAAATGAAATTTCCTATTTGTATATTGTAGCATATTTAAAGAAATAATTTGTATTAATCATTTTATAAATTTGTTGTATTAATAATGTGCAATTCTATATTTGTAAAATTTGGATATCATTAATAAATAAATTAGTTAATCAACTAATAAATTAAAACAAATAAATGTTTGTCTAAGAAAGAGGTGATAAATGTTGACATATATATTGATGGCTACAGACATAAATGTTGAAAACAATCAAAATAACTTTAAAAAAATAAATAAAATAAAAAAGAAAAAAATTTGAGAGATGTTAATTGCTTATGTAGTGAATTCCAAAGTTCAAGTTTACCTTAGTAAAATCATACTGCTGTTCTCACTATATACAGTAATAGGTTTTAAGATATTAACATTTAGTGCAATCGTGGTCAGTTTAATTGTGGATAAGTTTCGTAAAAAGTTTGCTAATGAGCATGGTATCATCACAGGTAAATTTAACCAATTTATGCTGCTCACATTGGACTTTTCTGCTCAGAAAATAATTGCCTGGTTATTGTATTAGGCCATCTTTTGACCAAAGAAAATATTATGCAAGCTCTTTACACTGGGGTTGTTGGTACTGACACTGTTATAGGCATTTATAATGCGCCTCTTCCTTGCAGTTATAAAGTGCAGTTCTTTTTCTTGGTCATTGGGTCCACATGCTTTAATTTTGCTGCTGGTAATCAGCGCAGGAGCAGGCAACCCCGCCAGGTACCTATTTATACTCCTGGGTGGAGAGAAGCAATGCAGATAAAGTGCCTTGTTCAAGGACGCAAGTGAAACGCACAGTGAGGGATTCCCATTCCTACTACACCAAACCACTTCCACTGACCAGGTATAGAGTGCATACATAAATAGTTTGAACAAGTATGATACAAGCAGAATTTTATTCTTCTTACCTTGTCTTCACAACCTAAACTTAGACCTTCACCGTAAGCGATCACACGCGGTGATGAGAAGCTGACACTTTTACCTCCGATATGGACATTTGTTATGCACCCTATGAAACCCTCTGTAGTCACATTGCTGAGATTTGAAAAAAAGACAGAATACCATCTAATAAATAAGATTTACGACTTTTAACAACAAGTATGAAATTAGATACCACTCCTTATTCAGAGAAGAGCTTGGAGATAACAATGACAACTTACGGATGGGAAACATCGTCAGGATTTCGTACTCCTCCAATGAAATACTGCTTTTCCAAATGGAAATCACCAATATCTGCAGTCTTAGATTCTGTAATATGCCTACACAAAATTTTTTATAAATATTATGTACATACATATAATTTAGTTTCATATATTTATGTAATTAATTGAGAACAAATTATCTTTATGTTTTAGCTTTCATCTAGTTTAAGATTATGAAAACTGCCTTTGATTTGTTTACTTTAATGTGTAAAATTCCAGACAGGATCTAAGAAGAGATAATTCTAAATAAATAATGGTACATGACTTGCAGTCATTCTGTATATAAATGAAATAGTTTAAAAAAGAAGCACATGCAAGAGTGGGAGGAATCGGCTCATACCTGTGTACACACCATGAACGTCTGGGCAACTAGGTTTTGTTATGAATTATTTAGACTGTAGACAATTTTTAACAGTTCGCTAAGTATTCATAAAATAGGCACAATAAATAAAACACTACTGTTGTCACAGCCAAATAGATTATTTAATATATTTATTATTAAACTAGCAAAAATGATCTATGAAGATAAGTCAGTGTTCTACATACCCAATTATTAAAGTAGCCTTAGTAGTGCTAAGTATGGCTTTAACAGACCTTGAAGTGCCAACGTTTTGTTTTTCTTTACTTTCAACTTCAATGATACCTTGCGCACTTGAGCACTGCATCACAACTTTACCATCCCTTATGCTAAGTGCAATGAACATGTCTTGACCACCGATGTAAAACAAGAGAGCATTTTGTGAATAGCTTGTAAATGTAAGTTCAATTTTGACGAGGTTATCAGATGACTCAAACTCAAACAGAACATAGGTCTTGCCACTAAACGTTGCTTCTTTTTTATCAGGTCTTGTTCTGTAAAGTGAAATAAAACACTTAATGAGAACATTAAATCTGATCATCATCTTAAGCTGTGTACTCACTGTGTACTACTGTCGCACAAAGAATCAGATCAGCCAAACGATGCAAGGCTGTTTGCCAGTGGCAGCCTGAATGGATTGTCATTAAAAACGATCCAATGTGCAATGGCGTCGGCCGACGATCATCGGGCACAGGGAGTGCCCAGCTTTAGCCATTACCATGGTGATTATCATGGTCATCATTATGACGACCACCACCACCACCACCCAGGCTTGGATGGCAAGCTTCTTAACCACCAAGATAAATCTTCATCTGATACAGCATGGTTTCTCCATGTATTCATTGTTCCTTTTATCAAGGGCACCCTTCTCGGAAATTATCATACACAATTGTGGAAGCAGTTTGGCACAGCAGGAACAGGTTTGAATCCCTCGCTGTGCATTTCGCATTTGTCCTTGAGCACGGCACTTTATCTGCATTGCTTCTCTTCACCCAGGAGTATAAATGGGTACCTGGTGGGGTTGCCTGCTCCTGCGCTGATTACCAGCAGCAACACTTAGCATGTGGACACAATGACCAGGGAAAGACCTGCACTTTATAACCGTAAGGAAGAGGCATATTATAAATGCCCATACCCATACCAATTCATTTATGTACCAAGGCAATAGCCTACAAAACAAATACACAAGGTAATCGTGACAATGATGTTAATAGATAATAGCTTTAAAAGAAGCTGTTTAGTGTGTCCCAACAGCGGATGAAGGCATTGTAAGTGGCTCAACATTGAGAGATGTCTAAAGTTTAATGTGTATGGAATACAAATTGAAGATTTGAAACAGGTCAAGTACCACTGATTTGCGAGGAAGATAAAGTTTGATTTTGATGTGTGAGCAAATTTATGCAAGTATGATTGGAACAATACGACACAAAGAGAAAAATATATACCTTGTGTAGTATGTTGGAATACATATTATCAGTATTGAGACAAGGTGACGATATAGAGAATGTAAAGAATTGTCTGAATGTAATTTGCGGAAAAGATATTTTTGCTTCAAATATGCATATTTACATTCACATAGGTTGCCAAAAATAGCACATGCTTGTTCCACTCTTTGACTGGATATGAATTTAAATAATAAAGCAAGAGATATTGGGTAACACATATGAATGCTTTGAATACCATATTTAATATTCGAATAAATGCCCCACTTTGAATAAACTCCCCTTCAGTGCCTCATTTGGAATAAATAATTCATAATTTTATTTTCCTCACATGAAATGGTAGTTAACAAAGGGAGATATTCCCTGTACAAGTGTCAACTACCAAAGCATAGCAATAAAAACAACAATAACACTGAAATGGGCAATTTCATGGTAGCGGAATCACTATTTTGCTGAACTTTTTAACTTTAATCTAACGTCATATTTACACTCCATTCTAATTCTTGGAATAATTATCATATTTACATAACTATGGAAGCCATCTATAATATCCACCCTAGTTTTTTTTTTAAAACCTATCACAATTTTGATATAATATCAAAAATATGTATGGTAGCGGAAAGACAAAAAAATTACCCTCTCTTTTTACCACTTCACATTTTACTAAAACCCTCTGATTTATGAAAGTGATTAAAAAATTGAATACATCTCAGTCAATCATAATTTAGTGTAGTATTGAATGCAAAACATTGATTTTTTTAAATGTTTACAGTTTTGGAGATATTTATAAAAATATAAGACTATGTCTGGTAGCGGAATCACAGTAGCGGAATGACCACTGATAAAAGTGCATTTGAAATTAATATTCATGAAAAACCTTCTTGACTAAATGTCAAATCTTTCACTTTTTATGAAAACAATGCTGAAGCAATTCATTTGGTATTTGAAACAAAATTTATTTTACTTTATCAAGTCTCAAACACAATTATAAAAATTATGAAAATTAATAAAAATATTGGATTGTTAATACTGTAATTACCAAAACACAATAACATTATATTTTTAGTCTAGAGTTTGCCTATCTATACTTGAAAACATTCTGAGAAATTTAGTTGTTTAATTATTTAACTTAATCAATATATAATATCATTTATGAATATAATTATAGTGGCAGAATGACAGTAGCGGAATGACATTGGAATATTGCTATAATTTACTGGTGATTCTTAAGTATATTCAAGCCTGTAGCCAGGATTTTGGGGGGTCGAGGGCCAATAAACACCTCTCTCGAATACATTCCCCTCAAAAACCCTTCTCAACAATAAACAACCCCAGGCGTTTATTCGAATAAATATGATATTTGAGTACAAAAAAATGTGTGCATACACATACAAAATAATTAATTACACTTACTCTTTGCCATTACTTGCATTAACGCCACTTGCCTCCTCAAAGTTCCATAGGGAAATATATTTATGATTGTAAGTAAAGCTTTGTAAACCTCCCTCAAAAGACTTTCGATTTAATATGTCTGGTAGCTGTAAGTAAAATTTCAAAATAAAACATTTGTAAGTTGTATTTTTGACTTGAACTTTAATTTTTACATAGCTATATATATATATATATACAGTTAAATCCAAGTCATTTTTTGTGACAAAACTTTGCTCCCATGGTGAAGCTTAGGCCCTATACTTTGTAGCATAGGCCTAGGGCTACCCTTACCACACCCTTACCACACCTTAGGCCCTAGGCCTATACTTTTAGCACACTGAGATGCTATGAAAATTCGAACTCTCTGAATTACAAATTTTTTCAATTATGAACTCTGTTCGGACGGAGGGGTACGTAATTGAGAGATGTTACTGTAATGCTATTTTGATAGGCATTCTTCAAAGAATTAAACATTTCAGCATTCGAGAATATAGTCACTGACCTTTTAAATCGGTGCATGCAGAGGGGTAAAAATCATGTGATAATTCATAACTAGGCTAGGCTACGGCCTAGTAGGAGGAGGCCTCGGCAGGCTTCACGTCTGGTCGTAGGCCTACATCTAAGTTTGTTCCTTGAGTCTAGAATATTCCTATTAAACATTCAGTTTGTTTTGTTTATGAGGGTCCACTGATTCAATGAATTCCTTAATTGTACATACTTAATATTGAATTTGAAGTAACTTTCTTCGGGTCCTAATTAAGCTTGTTTTTACAAAAGTAATTTCCAATTACAATTCCATTTTCAGCGCGGTGCGCAATTTCTTTCTGGTGACAAAAAATATAAGGATTTTTTTTTTGCACACGAACCTAATAAAATCAAGCCAAGCGTCCACTCACTGTGGCGGATAGGCAAATAACATTGGGAGTCGCAGTGATGACGTCATGACTGACTTATGATCATTCTGTTGATTATATTTTAAGTGCCATTGGATGGAGTAGACTTAATGTGATTTGGAATGAAAAATTACTTCTTATTACTTTCAAATGCTTGAAAGGATATGACCCTCAATATTTGTCTTTAAAATTTACCTTTAACAATACTACCCATTCTAAAGGCACACATAGCCAAACCCATAACAACCTGGTTCTTCCAATGTATAATATTGGACAGGGAAAAATAACTTTTTTATCATCCAGTAGCTGGAATGAACTACCACACAAATTAAAAATTAATTTTAAAGAGAGAATTTTTCATTTCAAAATCATTTAAAATAATATTTTCAAATATTATTTTATTATTTTCTTTGTTTTTATTTCTACTGTATATGTTTCTCGTCACTGTACCACTTTGAAAATCAGTACTATAGTACTGAAAGTGCCTACAGTATAAAGAAAGATTAAATAAATAAATAAATAAATCATTATTATTATTTATATTATTATCCAAAATGCTGTTTTAATTTCTAAAAGGGTAATACAATGAGTTAATACTTACACCCTTGTAGCTGTTTGGTACACCTCCAAAGTAGAACTCAGCTCCATTAGCTAGGTTTAATATTGATGCTTTACCCATGGCAAATTTCTCAGCCCCAGCATTCTGCACATCAATATCAATTGCATTCCCAACTCTGTTAGATAAGAGTTTAATAATTCATTGTTTATTGGTCATTCAATATATGATATACAGGCAGCTAGACTGGTGCTGACTTTCCAAAAGATTAAATCCGACATATTCAATGATTTAAAAAAAAAATATATATTTGATTACCTATTCCAAATGATACCTGGTAGGACAATCTAGAGACTAGCTTAAGGTCTAAGCCACAGAACAGTCGAACAAGTGCGAAACAGCGGTAGAATTTGACAAAAATAGATTTACCCTTTATCATGATAAAAATTAATCCAATGTGAACAGGCTTTATTAAGAATAAGTGTGTTTTTCAAACCAGATTCTGCAAAGGCCATGATGAATATGCAAGTTCGCACACTTACATAGGGATTGGACTTTTCATCAAAACAATTTTTGATTACCTTATAATGGAAACAGTTGACCAGATGTTTTTAGGGACACTAAAATTTGAAATAGCAACAGCTGGGTTAACACTGCTTGATAATTGGTATGCCACCTTCAGCTTGCTATTCTCAATCTCTGCTGCCATAAATTCATCCTGTAAAACAAATAGGAAAATACATTCTAAAGCCAGGTAATCACTGTGCCCAACGGTTGTCGGATAATTCTATGGCGAATGCAACACCACGAAGGTTGTGCAACAAATTGTTTTTAATGACAATCCGTTCAGACTGTCACATACAATCAACAGATGGCGTTGTATCGTCTAGCAGCGGCTGCACAACCTAGTGAGTGCCTGGCTTTATTCAACTCATGGGCGGTGAGGGACAACACTTTTCAAATGTAGGGGGATATCATATCAATTGCCCACCCCCCACTTTTCACCAATCTTTTATAGTTAAAATCTCACTTTTCAAAGCACGAGGAAAGAACAACAATTACAAATGACTGTCATGAATTTTGTCTATTCACTTGTGCTCTATTCCAAGTGCGGTGCGTATTTCCAGACCAATACTGAGTAAAAACGCAGTTGTTTGTACATTTCGTAACCATCTGAGTAACCACTCCATTAATTAACGGTTATCAGAGGTTAAATTTATTATGAAAACAACTGTACATTGTTAAAATTGGAAGCGTGTAAACCTATAAGGCCAAAATTTTTACAAACTCAAAAGTGAACAACTTCTACTATAAGCGATTTATTTCTTTTGTATGTCATTAAGACCCGTATATACTAGTGTTCAATATTATCTGCATACATAGATTCCTGTTTTTTCTAATTTTCAAAAAATTATGGTTAGTCAATTGAATGTTATACAGCCGTTATTAAACAATAATACACAGCCTTTGACACAGATGTCTGTCTATTTCGACTTATTTAAGTTTACGAACTCTGATGTTACTTGACGCAATTTCGCCATGACATAATGACACTGATAAATTCAAGTAAATCACATTTATGTTTGTGAAATAAAAAAGCTAACTATTGTTTTGTGTGCTTCCTATCTTCTTAGTCCTGTTTGATCGTAAGTTAGACAGAAGTTTTTCCACTCACAATAGTGTGTTCACAATACTTCTTGCACAAAAGCGAAATTCAAAAAGAGGAGAAAAGGAAAAACCTCTTGATTGATTTTGAAAGTACTTTACATGCAAAGGAACTAGAGAATTGAATACGTCACAAGCTAATCAGCAGATAATAAATAATTATTTTTATGGGCAAGATTTCAGTTGTTATGAAAAATCTGATTTTTATATATGTTATAAAGATTTATAAATGTAATACGAAATTTGATTTTTTTGTGTTTCACACAAAAAATTTCCCAAACACTCTTAAAGATTCCTTAACTTCAGACTCCTTTTGTGCCTTCTTAAATGATCTAAAAACTCACTTATTCTCTTCTTAATTCTAATGTATGTTATCCTTATTTCCGGCCTTATTTTCTGCATGGGCGTGTGTGTGCATTAACCTAAGTAATTAATTTTATTTCATTTACTATTTAATTTTATAACTTTTTTTTTTTTTAAAATTTTTATATGTATTTTAATATATTTATTTTTTATTTATTATTATTTTACTATTTGTTTATTATATATACTTTTTCTTTTCATTTTATTTTTATTTATTAAATAGGTTTGTAACGTATTTCTATTTTAATTAAGCATTTTAATTGTATGTATCTTAACTGACTTATTTTGTAAAACTGGGTTGATGAGGGACAGAGACATTTTGTTATAGTGATTAAATTCACTTTTGTGTCCCTGCCAGTCAGCTCAGTTAGCCTGTTTCGTTTTCTGTATAATTCTAATTTGGCATGTTGTTTGTTTGGCAATAAAAGAATAAGAATAAGAATAAATGCGAATGGATTTTTCATGTTTGATTTTGCGATCTGCTAAGAAATATAGTAGGCGCTGAAAACATTTACCTATCCAACACTGCATAAAAAAAGTTTATACCAATGTTTTTCCATTGTTTATAATAAAGAGTAATGCATATGCATTTTTTGCTAAAAAAAAAAACTCTTTTTTAGTGAAATTTTGCTGGGAATGGGGCTTTAAGGTTGATTCCAGTTCATGCTGTGGTATGGTGTTTTGAAAAATTACCAATGGCTGACAGCTATGTTTAAGAGTAATTTTGACCTTGAGGCAGGGTTCCCGGAACGCCGCCCTCAGCAGTGGGTGCGAAACACAACTCAGGGTCAAAAGTGGAACGTGAAATTTGGATATGGTTTTGTAGTCAGATTTGCTAGAAAAACTTCAGCTACCCGTATTTCTCGACTGAGAGGGAAAGAGGGATTCGAAATAATTGTCTCCATATCTTCGCTAAATTAAATTAATCACCGTAATTTAGCTTACACTATGCTTATGAATTAAGGGAGTACTTAAAATGTGAAATAATCATTTCACTACCCGACAAACTCCGAACTTTATTCATTCATTAGGCCTACATAATAGTTTCATATTGTACTCCAACATCACTGGCACATGGTAACAACCAACTGACTGCAGACCATTTCCGGTCACACATTACTCTCCATAACACAGCACCCCCTAGTTCCGTCACCTCTGGTTTCTGCAGTATACTCAAATTCCTATCAGAAGCCTATTTTTAACTTTGAATGTTTTTATGATGTATTTATGATGTACAATTGAATTTTACTTCAGCCATTGGCAGCCAAGTATTATTTTATTTAATGAATAAACCTTGAATAGGTGTGCATCGAGGGACATTACACTGTATTACAGCGCTACAAAAATGGAAGACCATCCATTACTATCATGTTTGTGTTTAGTTGTACAGTACATAAATATTACTTACACTCTTAGATACACTTAAGAACCTAATTAAATGGCTGGCACAAAATTTAAGATTCAAGATAATTTTATTGTCTGAAAACCTCATAAAATACATTCCACTGGCAGTGTTACAAGTGTTAATAAACAATTTCAGCCCCCAACCATAGAGTTGAGAGCCCAAATCATGGCAGCTGTGCCAACTGCTCCCAAGTGGTGATGCAGTAGAATCCTGATTTTTTGCAACCTTTAATTTTTTATATTTTGCTAGTATCTTGTAAAATAATATATTCTGGAAAACAAATAATTATCACAAAGATTATTTACCTCAGTGATCTTCAAGATTTGGAAGCCACATAATATATTACAATAAAGATTGTTGAAATAATAAAACAAAACTTGCTACATACTTTTTTCTTCTGCATCATCTAGGGCCTTTGTGCTGATGTTAATGTTTGCCTTGACATCCTCCAGAATGGACTCAGTAAGGGTGATATTGGTCTTGGCAGTATCGATAATATTCTTACTTGCATTTGCTACCTGTTCAGCTTGCATTGAAAGGTTAAAGGCTTTTCTTGCTTCTTCTGAATCAACTATAAAAACACATCAATTGATAATGTAGTAAAAAATGAACTAAATAGTCAATATACAATGAACGTTTAGGAGTTACACCACTAAAATTACTATCTATAGCACAGGTTGGCAACTTTTTGTGGCCCACAACTCTATAATGTCCGGTCTGCCTATCATCTTTGGCTAGAAAACCCCTTGCTCTTACAGCATGACACTGATTATCTTTATAAATTATGCATAACGATAGCAGTGCATAAAGGATTTTCTGGATGTGTCAAAGTTCAAATGCAGCCTTTAGTGTTAAATCAAAAATACATTTTTGGCCCTCCAATTTATGTTGATACCCACCCCTAGTCTATAGACTACCATTCTATCAAGTTTTACAGAGGTATATCCTGCAAAGGATCTTATGTTGGATTGTACATTACTTTCTGCTCTCCTTTAAATAATATAAATATATAAGGATGGGCTGATTTTCTCATCAGTATTTTTAATTACTAAATAGAAACAATTTACAAACCTCCTTCCAAAATGCTGTGGGTGTGTGTAAATGTTTATATTTTATTTACTTATCTTATTAAAATATGAACATATTTGGTGCAATTTTCAGTATTTGATATTGATTTTGTTTTATATAATATGTAGGCATATTATTAAGTAAACTGCCTTAATAACTCAGACACTATATCTTTAACAAAAAGTTATGAAAATCACAATAAATGAAAAAAACAGAAACTATCAAATTGCTTGCTAAAAATACGTTTTTGGTCAAATACCTTCAGGTAAGTCATTGATTTCATTTTTCAACATCTGAAGATTATAATTTACTTCGAAATTTGTATTATGCAGTTCTTGCACAAAGGCCTCGACACGCATCCTTATTGGTTCAAGTTCTGAAATTCAAAATAAAACATCATAATAACTAATAATACACAGATTTCAATTTAACGAAGATGATTGTTTTTCCTGGTCAGCTGGCTGCATCATTCCCTGTCTAGTATTCCTAATGGAATCTATCTGTAGCTTGTTGGTTAAAGCCCCATTCCCGGCAAAATTTCAATTTAAAAAAAAAATCTAATTTTTGTATAATGTTATAAAGATTTATAAATATAATACGGAATTGCTAGTTTAACTGAATTTAGACATTCCTAAGAATGGAAAAAATGTAAAATAAGACTCATTCTCTTTATTATCCTGTCTCTTATACACATCTAGATGTGTATAAGAGACAGTATTTTATGAGAAATAGTCTGTATTTCTCATTTTTTTTATTCTTTTGCGTAAAACTAAAATTCATGCCAATATTTTTCCATGATTTATAATAATTGGAGTAATGCAAATGCATATTTTCTAAAAAAAGTAAGTTTTTAGTGAAATTTTGCCGGGAATGGGGCTTTAAGGTGCTTGCCATCCAGTCTTAGGCTGCTGAATTGCAATCCTGTGACTGCAGAAACTTTTTCTCTTGACTAAAACATAAACACTGAAAGATTTATATATTTTATAACAATGCAAGAGTTGGTAAGGTCCCATAGGCTGATAGTTAATCTCCAATCTATGTATATTATGTATATATATATATTTTGATTGAAAGGTATGATCAAAATTTACTAAGAACAACCCTAAACAAGTGTTTGGATTGGAATTTTCAGTCAAACTATTACTATGTGGAAACCACTCAATAGTTGATTTAGTTCGATTTTTGGTTTTCCTCACTCTTGTTGTTCTTAAGTTCCTTTGAGTATTCTAAATTAAAAGAAATTGATTATGATGTTTTTTGTTAAAAAATAAAGGCATTAGTGGACACTGATGTAATAATACTGTAATAACGACATCTGCAATAATACTAGTGGCCAAGGTTGTCCACAGTTCAATGATGTTAATATACAATGGCATATGCTCCTTAGGACATCTCTGTAATATGTTAGTTTAGGATCTCTATTTTATAGCTATTTTGCTCTACAAACTATGTATGTTAAGGGTCTCTGTAATATATGACGGCTGCATACTGAGGGGTTCCATACAATAGTTGTTGAGGGTCTCTATTCTTCTGTTGATTCTGTCTATACTGTTAAGAAATGTCATTGTAGATGTGTTTCTATACACTCCTCACCTTCATCAAGTTTTTTCTCGGCCTCCTTTGCCTCATCCAATTTTTTTTTGCTTTTTTTAAGTGCTTTATCTGCCTTCAGATTTTCACTCTTCAAGAGAAAAATTAAATTGAGATTAAAGTCGACTAAAGCTATGTTTAGCTGCAGGCTAAGCAACACCATATTTTTACATTAAATAATTACAACATGGATGAATAGGACTAAGTGAGTATCCTAACCTGTTGTTTTGCAATTTCTGCTGCTGCCAGAGAATCATTTGCAGATATTTTTGCATTGTCAATGGCATCCACAATGTCAGAATATGCCTTGGCAGCCTGATCAGCAAGCTCTGCATATTCTACCCCAGTCTTAGACAGCTCTACTAATCTGGCAGCATAAGCTGTTAGGTTCTTGGCATGTTCGCCTGCTTGATCTACAAGATCTTCTGTTCCCTCAAGATCTTCCATTAAGGTTTTTACCACTGGTGCAAAGCGTTTGATGCCAGCGACAAGCCTGGTGTAATCTTCAGTCAAGTTTGTATTTGAAGCTTGGGCATCTATGAGGTATGATCTAGCTAAGGCTAATAATTCATTAGAATCTTCAATCTTTCTGGTACCATTAGTAAACAAGGAATTTGATAGATGAATATCAACCTATACAAAAAAAGGAACTTTCATACTACAGTGTCTTTTTCACATTAAACATATTTTTTCATGAAAAGAGGTACAGTTCAGTTGCACAAACACGTTCAATTAAAATATTGTTTTTACACAAGCTTGTGAGAATAGTAATAATTAAATATAATTCTTTTAAGTAAAGAGTAAGCGATATAAAAAGCATTTAATGGTATTTTTTATTATTAATGTTTGATGTCTGAAGCTGCCATATATTATATAGGAATTTTGTTTCTCCTAGGCTTTGCCCTCCTTAACTTTGTTGTAATGTTTCAGGTAATAAATATATTGTTAAACATTTGAAAAGCCAAAAAAAAAAAAAGGAGTTATTCAATGTGGCAGAAAGTGATGAATGAAATATATTCACCTTTAAATTTCCTTTTGATATTAAATTATCAGCATTTATCTTTTTTGACTCAGAAACAGAACGATTTGCATCATTGCTCCAGCCAATTACATCGTTGATGTCATTTTCGTCATGTTCCAAATGTGACGTAACATTCATCAAATGAGTCAGGAATCCTTGAACGTCTTGATTCAGATGTGTCACATTATTCAATACTAGGATAAAAAAAAAAATGACAGGCTTAATTCTAATATGCATCTTTGTAATTACAATCCAGTTCGTTTTAAAATATATTAAAATTTGATATTCCAAGATATGTACATTTCCCAGGTCGAGTGGCCAAGCGGCAAAGCAGTGGTGCTCCAGCCCCTTACAGCGGCTAGGTAGACACAGACTACACCCATACGCAATTCAGTGCAATGACGCTGTGAGTTATTCTCCTACCTTTACCTTTACAGAAAAGAGAATTGGCAATATATGCCAGAACGAAGAAATTGGTTCTCTTTTCCTCTAAAAAACAAGGTGGTTAGATCATGGAGGTATTATTGAGATCATTCAAAAAAGGTCTGTGCACACACTATGCAATTAGGCAAAGGACAAAGCTGCCGCAAAGAACCAAGTTAAAGCTAATACATTTATCTGTCAAAAAATACTAAACTACGAAAAAGAGTTTTGAAGTTAATGAAATATTTACATGAGCCTTAAAAGTATGGTATATTTCAACTTGAATTTTCATTAAAATTGGATAAAACTTAATAGATATTAATTAAGGAGTGGTTGAGGATTATAATAAAATATTTTTGTGTAAACACATGTGGACTATTCGAAAATTCAATCCAATGTCAGAAAAATATTCAGTCTTACGCTGCCTCAGCTTTATAGTCAAACCAGTCAATCTTTAGACAAAATTATAATGAACACAGAATTGCAACAGAAATATTTTGCAGAATCTGTTCCTAAAATATACACATAACATACTAAAAATCTAATCTTGGGAACATTGTTAATTTTAAAGTTATTTAACGAGTTAACATCAAACGGTTTATCGCATGACAGCTGTGTTGAAGCGTATAAAAGCCTGTTATTGCCAAGTTGTTGCTAACAAAAAAATGTTATAGGATAGACGCCCATGCACGATCCAAATGCAAACACATTGGTTTGTTGTGTCAAAGTGATTTGTTGGCGAGTGATCTCCTTCTCAATAATACCTCCATGGTTAAATGACACAAAGTAGGCAGCAATGCCTTAAAAATTGTGTTACTGATATTATATTTTATTTGAATTCTGGGAGTAGTGGGAATAGTATTTTACCTTATAACCAAACTACAAGAAATAGTAACTCACACATCCTTGCAGCAATATACTCTTTGCGGCTTGCTTCCTCAGCTGCTGTGAAATTGCTGCTTTCAATCTCAGTGACAATGCGTCTTGCTATTGCCATTGATTCTTGCAGACCGTCTTGTTCCTCAGTAATGTTCTTATTCTTGCTCATCACAATAATATCTTTGTAGAAATGTATCATTATTATTTAATATTTGTACAATTGTTGTTAACTAGTATCTTTCACCATCCACTGATAATAATCATTTAAAAAAATAGGGTAAAATCACACAAAATAATGAATGGTATTTTAAAAAAGTAAACTAATCTGTAACCAAAAGTTAACATTCTTTGATTTAAAAAGTATGTGGAGCCAACACTGCAATAACTGAACTTACGTTGAAGACCTGCGTAAGATTCATTGATAAATGTTTCCAGATTGTTTGCTCGTTGCTTTACATTAAGTGCGGCTGGTAGATGCTCATTTTCTGCTGAATCTTTGATCTTCACGGACTGGGCAAAAATATAAAGAAATGGTAGCACCACTAAATATAGATTTAGTCTAATAAAATTGATGGTGTTGAAGATGATAATGAAGATGATGATGATCATAAGATGATGATGTTGATGATGATGAAGATGATGATGAGGATGACAACGGTGATGACTGATGATGACGATGATGATAATGACGACGATTAATATTTACCAGTGCTTCAATTTCATTTGCTCTTGTGCTAGTTCTATTCAGCTCTGCAGTCATATTATCCAACTTAGCCTCAAGTAACATATTGTTGTTCACTAAGACTTGTGATACCTCAGGCTTCCATGTTAAGAAATAAAAAATAAGTTAATCATCAGAAATAATAACAATAAACAATACGTAGTTTTGTATCGCACTTCATGCCAAACCCTTAATGTATCTTAACAATACCAGTTACACTGATTCAAACTCATAATCAGCTCCATGTGAAGTATTTAAAAATGTTGCAGCTAGTAAGATATAGTAGCAGTGGTAGATATAGTAGCAATCATAGTAGCAACAGTAGTAGTAGTAGTAGCACTACCAACAGTAGTAGTAGTACTAGTAGTAGTAGTAGCAGCAATAGTATAAGAGTAGAACTATTAGTAGCACCAAAGAGTACAGAATTGCAAGGTCTGCCAATTTTGTATGCACACAATGAAACGAAAAATGAAGCACTACCATGGGATGGGGGCGCCCTATCAGAATTCAAATAGAGCTCAACACTCAAACATAGGTTCTATTGACGCAGCACACATTTCAACGTTCTTTTTTTCCTCTAGTTCGTGGTAGTACTTTTTGAAATACCCAAATAATCAGACCTCTTGGAATTCTATACTCTTTGGTAATATTACTAATAGTAGCAGCAGTAACAGTAGTAGCAGTCATAGTAGCAGCAGTAGTAGTAGTACTACTAGTGGAAGTAGTAGAAGCAGTAACAATATAGTAGAAAAATAGTAGTAGCAGTAGTAATAGGGTAGTAGAGTAGAAGAGTGGTAATATTAGTTTTACCTTGAGTTCATTCCACAATGTGTCATTTAGCTGATCTAAACGGTCAAGATCAGCTTGACCAAGAGGAATCTCGCCTGGAGTAGTCATATTAACCTCCAAAATCATGCTCTGCATCGCATCCAGAAGTTGATGTACACATAGGTCACATTGTTTGCATCCTTCTTGCGTCAAGATGTAACGATCCTCACAGGTGTCACAATATTCTCCGGTGGCACCAACTGGACAGAGACAATCCCCTGTGACTGGTTCACATTCAAGGAGCTCAGGGCAAGAGCATTCTAAAAAGAGAGTGTACTCATCATATACACAACACTAATTCAGTTGAAATAACTACCAAAATGTCTGGTATATACTAGCATATTCTGTTCCAGCATTTCAAATTAATATTCAATACTTTATAGCTACTTCAGCCATTAATGGCATGAGCTTAAAAGACAACTTGCATTTGCGAGGGGAGGAGGAGGGGAGGCAAGTATCCTGGATGCCCTTTAGGCCTTCAAAGGTCCCACTCCCCACCCCAAGATTGCACACATATTGGTTCTTTGCTGCTTTGATTAGTACTCTTACAACAAAAATTCTATTACAAAAAACGTCTGAGTAGTTGTTGTCTTATAACAGAAAGAGAATTCTTACACAAGTTTATCTAAAGATTTTTATGAAACCCTTTTGATGGTCAGTAGGCCCCAGAAGTCTCCTCCCTCCCAACCCAATGTAGACTGCTAGGAATGGGTGCTTCGCCACTTATGAGTAGTACTACAACAACCAAAATTATCATAAAATGGAAGGTTTAGTCTGAACAGAAAGAGAATTGTTATATACTGGTTCATCCCGATAATGAAATCTTTTAAACAGTCTTCACCCAATTCCTAAAATTAACAACCATCAATAACTATGCATACCTATACATCCTGTTGGTCCGTAATTCCAGAAACCCCGCAAGCAACGAGTGCATTTGTCACCCCCGACACCAGGTAAACAGGAGCATTCACCCGTTTGAACATTGCATTCAGGCATGACAGATGCTATGCCACAGTCACATGACAGACATCCTTGACAAGATGAGAAGCCCCATGTACCTGACTGATGTTCAATAAGGACATAAAAATATGTTCTGTTTAATTTTTTGATAATTCAAAATGTTTAATTGAGCAATCAATTAACAGATCTACTGGCATTATGTCATCCAATGATAGTGCACCATCAAATTCGAGACCCTCCAATTGTGAGAACGCTCTAATTCACTTTTCAATAGAACCCCAAGTAACAAACAACTTTGTCTATTAGCACTAAGCTAAGACCGAACCCCGAGACCACCAACAATTTTCAGGTTTCAAATATGGTCTGAAATTGGAGGGCGAACTGTAACTAGATTTACTTATCATGTTAGTTATACAGCTCTGCCATGCTATGTGTGATTTGCTCCTGTATGGCTGTGCTGATCGGAACAAACATGTTTTTCAACAAATCATAGCTATTTGTCACATAAAACTTGATAATGTAGCACACATGGCTGGATATTTCTAAAGTATCAATAAACATTTAATAATAAACAAAACAACTATCATCATCATCATCACTTAAAACCAGGCTCTGGAATAATTTTTTTTTTATATGTTGTACAACTGTTATTTATTTATTCCTCCTTTTTACTGGATTGCATTTTCAGTAACGTAGAACTGTACTGCTTTCCAAAATGTTCCAGTTACAAAGTACAGTAAAGTCAAAAATAATAAAAGTTTAAATAAAGTAAACAAAGTAATTAAATAAAATTAAAAAATGTACAAAGGTAAAAATCTTAACTAAATTACATTTGAATCAATAAAGATCAAATTTTTGAATTCATTAATATTTTTTCGTTTTGCAGTTTTTCTAATTTGAGCAGGTAAATTATTCCATTGGTTTGAGGCTCTGAATTTAAAAGTTCTTTTACTTTGAACGTTTTCCAATTTGGTGTTATTAATGTTTTACTACTTTGAATATGGATGCATTTGGGATGAAGTGAATCATTGAATTCAAACACTGACAATAAATATGATGGTGCTTGACCATTTATACATTTGAAAGTTCTAATTTTGCTAAGACACAAAAAGCATGTTTGACAAAAAACTCTGAAGCGGTTAATGAAATACATATTTTAGAAAGTTTGAAAACTGGTCGGAAAAGGTGGAAAAGAGGGTAGTTATGCCCCTTTTCCCCCAGTTTTTAATATTCAAAAATCTGTATCTCATTTACCACTTTCAAGTTTTCCGCCAAATATGCTTTTTTGTCTTAGCAAAATCAGGTGTACAACATATCTAAAATTGTTTTTCCTCCAGAGCCTGGCTTTAAAGTATCTCTTCAACATCATTATCAAAATCACAATTTTAACCATACTCATGAGATGATGTCACTATGAGCATTCATGTCATAATGAACATCCACTGACAGCTAATGTGTTACCTACCCTACACCGACTGCAATTGCTTCCAACTACATTGGGTTTGCAAGTACATGATCCTGTGCTGTTATCACACCTAGACACTCCACATGTGTTGCACTCACATTCTATTAACAAAGAGAAAGAGCTTGACGTCATTCCAAATGATTTTTTAAATTTTTAAATATTGGAGAAACAGTTAGGAGTGTAAAAGAAAGAAAAAAAGAACATCGTAAGAAAATAAAAAATGAAAAATCTTCATCCATTATCTACTAACACTTTAATGAACATGAAAGTATAATACATACTCCAAGTATTAGAATGCACGCCATTGTGTTGGGATTCAATATTTCAACATTTCAATTTTCAATTCAATTCAAATAACTTTTATTCCAATTATCAACATAAACAATACACTTAGATAAAAAAAAAATGTTTGTTTGCCCTCCTCCACCCGCCCCTAACTCACTAAAAAAATAGGGGCGGAAAAAAAAAAAAAAACTTTAAAAAAGGGTTTTTTTTCAGCTTTCTTCTTTACAGATAAAAAAAAAATGTGAGTGAATTTATCTTTATTTTTTGCCAGATGCCCTACAAATTAGTCTAAAGTTGCTCTCTGATGTAAGACATTGCCATTCCAGGTCTCTGTAGGTTATTTTAACTGATGAGTATCTTAAAAAAAAAAAAAAACTTTTTCCACCCATCCCTTTTTATTTAAAAAAAAAATGGCAAACAAACAATTTATTTTTTTAGGATTTATCAGCAAAAGAAAGTGTACAATAGCAGCTGATAAAAGGAAAAGGTTACAAAACAAGCATGAAAATGCATTAGATATGTAACCTTGCAAAAAAAATAAAACAAAAAAATAATAAAAATAATACAAAAAAAACCCAATAATATAAATATTAGTATAATAACATTAATGAAATAACAGATAAAACATATATGGACTTATCATTGTTAACATTTATAATTAATTAATATCATCATCAGGAATGAAAAATTAGCCATATTTGCAAGCTTATATACACAAGTACCAAAAGTATCTAACCAATCAAAACATTACCTCTAGTAGGTAACATAGCTGTGAATAAACTAAAGTGGTATTAACGAACACCACAAGGAAAAAGAACAATTTATACAAGTAAAAGTGTTGAGTACATATCCAGGGGATCCAATGTTACATCAAATTAATGAAGCAGTGCACATTAAAGAAAACAACCTAGGCCTCAACGTCAAAGATGAATAAACGGGAAACAACAATCATCAAAGGACATAAAGCCAACGATGATACCCTAAGATACACCATAGAGGAATTAGTTTCCTCCATGGATACACTATGTACTTGAATCTTCATTCAATCATTTATTCAGCATTTTTTTTTTATTGGTATATGTTTGTTTTTTACTCACCATTATTTAAGTCACTAATGGTGGTAATATTCACACACCTGTGGAATTACTAACTACACAACGATACATCACATCAATTCCATTACCTTAACTGAGGGCCAGATAGGCTGAAACTGTTTTCAAGGTAATAATGACTTTATATTATTTTATTCAACGTTAATGCTTCCTTTTACTTGCAGCGTAATGGGGCTATACGGAAAGTACAAAAGTAATGTAAAAAAAAAAAAAAATAATAATAATAATAATAATAATAATAATAATAATTGTTAAGTTGGACTCTAATTTCTCCATTGTCTAAGTTCCCCTTAAGGTAAGTGTTAGTAACATAATAATAATAAAAATAATAATAAAAATAATAATAAATAATAATAATAAAATAATAATAATAATAATAATAATAATAATAATAATAATAATAATAATAATAACAATAATAATAATAATGATGAATAATAATAAAAAGATGAATTAAATATTTAAAAGATGCTTTTTCAGGCGGTCCTCAAAACACATTCAAGGACGTTGCCTCCTTAATTAATATTGAGAGCTGGTTCCATAATGATGCACTGGCAGAAAAAGATTAAAAGCATATATTTTGTTTTAGATGTAAGAAGCATGCGAGAAGAGGATCTAAGTAAACAGCTGGTAAGGTACAACAAGTTGGCTGAACGACAGATTATTAAGCAATAACTTTTCATCTATTATAACTCCAAGACTACGAGCACCAGAGTCAGTATTGATGGACTTATTTACAAAACGAATGGATGAAAGTTTGATTTGGTCTTTGAGGTGTCTATGAAATGTGCAAAAACCTCTGTTTCGTCATCATATAGCTTAAGTTTGTTTGCAATCATCCACCTGCAAACATCAGAAAGGCAATCCTGTAATTTGGACAACTTAGTTGGAAGATCTTTTGGTGAAGAAGCGACATACAATTACAAGTCATCAGCATACGCCAGATTTCAATACCATGTGATGCAATTAAATCTTCAAGCAGTGACACATAGTAAAAATCATTATATTTATTGTATTTCTTTGTTTCAATGTTTCAATTTAATATTTTGTTTAATATATTCTTTTATTTTTACATCAATATGCACAAGAGGTATTAAACTAGGGTCAACTGATATTTCAATTCTGCAAACAGACAAAGTGAGCGATGCTCAGTATAGGAAAATGCATGGCTCCTTGAATGATACCAAACTTAGTAACAATATTCCTAATTAACATCAAAGATCACCATAGCATGAGAGTAAAAGTTTGTAACCATAACATTTATTATACTTTCTTAATGTAAATAACGGTGTAAAATACTGATTTAAATTTAGATTACACAAATCAGTGCTGCTGTAATTCTGAAAATTTTATATTGTTTTAACTATTTTTTGATTTGTATTTTTACTGCTAGCTTTAGAGGGATAAACAATGTTATAATCTGTTTATTGCTGCCTTTTTGTCATTTGTTTTTTTAAATACATGCCCTTCTATCTGTTTTTTCTGTCATGATAAAATGTGCAATTATATTTCTGTCTTTGCAAGGACCCCAATGGAAATGAGTTTTACTTTTTGGGCTTCTGCTGGGTCACGTTTTTGTACAATATTTATCTTGCCTGCTTTTTGTATATCACTTTCATGTACTGTATGTATTTTATGACTGTGATTTGAATAAATTCAATCAAATTCAATCAATGTATAGCAATGAGCCTAGTGCATAGTAGTATTCTACAATTTCAAACACCAGTTAAAGCCATACATTTACAAAGAAAGCAACAAAAAATACTTCAATTAAACTTACTTTGGCAATTATGTTGATTGACAGCATCTCCATAGTAATCATCTGTGCATCTGTCACAATTAAAGCCAGAATACCCATCAGCACAGAAGCATTCACCTGTTAGGCGGTCACAACGCCGTCCTACAGTGTTTGGATCCGTGTTGCCATGACAAAAACATGGTTGACAGTCACCTCCAACTACTTCAGGAGAACCGTAATAATCATCTTCACATCTATTGATAAAACAGATGTGCAATAACTTTAATTACCAATTATCTGTTTTTTGGACATATATAAATTATAATTAAATGAAAAGTGAAGAACAGCGGTTACAGCAGGAGGAAAGTTAGTAACTTAAAATATCAAATTTCAATTTTTAGATAAATTTCAACACATTTATCATGAAGCATTCCAAATCAATTGGTTCAGTTTTTTCAAATAAGTACTTACTCTCCACAGGTGGTACCTTGGTAACCAGGTAAACAATCACATGTTGTTACTATACCGGATACTGAGCATGAATAAGCAAAGCTGAAAACAGTTTATAAACATATTTACTACATTTACGATTTAATCATCAAGGATCATAATGTGTTGAAATAGATAAATAAAGTAGTTGTTTGTTTAATATTGTTCATTGTGTTCTTAAAGTATTTAATTTTATTTGTTGTATTTTGGGCTGATTTTGGTTGTGTGCACCATAAACATTCATATCATTATTATTTTACACATTACTACTGTATATAAATGTCAACAAGTCAGTACGGTTTAATTGAATATTTCTATAATGGGCCTACATATTAATCTGAAATAAATATTTGAAATTAACAACAAGAATAACGCAAGTCAAAAGAAGATAAAATATACACTTACCTATTTCCCTCACTGGAGTGTGGACAAGCACACAACTGACAGGCAAACGGATAGTTTTGGTTTGAATCCTCATAGTAGCCTGACTTGCAACTACCACAGCTTGGCCCATCAGTATTGTGTTTACAGTACTATAATACACAAATTGGCATTAGGAAGGGCTGTATCAATCTTCAAACAAACATCTCTTAACATATCTGACAGCATTTAGAAAAAGGCCTCAATAACAAAGCAACAAATTAGTTATTATCACACCAAGCATCCTTATTTTTTTTCTGTTATCAAAATAATAATAATAATAATAATAATAATAATAATAATAGTAATACCATACTCGTGCGAATAAGCACCCAGGCATTTAAAATATTTTTTGCCCTTTTTGAGAGGCGCTTAATTATTCAAACGGGCGCTTATGAAAACAAAGTGGAAATTGAGGGGGGGTTCTTCTTGGAACCTGGAAAATTCAATGGGCGAATTTTAAATGAAAAAATTATATAAAGACATCCGAAAACCGAAGATTACAAATGGTTCTGGTGCACAAAAGATAATCGTACATAGAGCATGGCTTGTGACAAGAGTTCTGTGAGTTTTAACAGCAGATGAAATTAGTGGTGGTGGTGGTGGTCTACAAGCTTGTTGGCCATCTGCCGATTAAGATTAGCAGGATCATTGCAGGGCTTCTTGCAAACTAACATGAAAACGTGCTAAAGGTGCAAATTGTCGGGAATGTAAGAAAAGGAAAACTGGAAAGATACTGTCTATGGAACTCTCACGAGAGGGGCGCTTATTCACGCGAGTACGGTAATTGATTGATATATCGATTGCTTGATTGACAGTCAATTGATTGATTGATTGATCAACCGATTGATTGCCTATCTGACTAATTGATTGGCTGAGTAATAAATTCTCTAATTGACAGCCTAATTACAAAATTTATTGCCTAATTGAATAAATGACTGACTGACAGCCAGAACATTGATTTGATTGATTGATTTATTATCTGGCTGATTGCCTGTTTGTTTGCTTGATTACTTATTTAAATTCCTATTTGCTTAATTGATTTCCTTGATTGATTGATCGCTTTACGGGTTGCCTGATTGACTGATTGATCGATTGATCAATTATACAGTTTATACTCACATTACATTCACCGGTATCTTTATTGCACTGATCGCTGTGTCCATTGCATTCACATGGGATACAGCTCCCAAGAAACAGACCAACTCCAGAACGATAATAACCATCAGCACATTCCTATGTGAGAACCACAAAAAACATATTTAGAATTAGGACACATGCGATGCATGATTCTCAGCACAAAATGGCCACAAACATACGTATGCAAGGTAAATTGGTCAAGGTAAATTGTTGTTGAATATGAACTGAAGTACTAAAAGTAACATACTGTCCATAATGTGGGCAGGTTTTTCATTTCAATTAATTATATTGGCACAAGCAGCCCAGGGATTGCATCAGCAACATTATGAAGTAGAATAACACCATGGGCAAGTGTTTGTCAGGGAATCATAATAAGCAATTAGTAGAGCTCCGCATAGTACACTATAGGAAAATTATTATATGAAGGTTATAATTCAATAGCAAAATTATCAGGCAAATTGTTTCTGCTACAGAGTACGAGCATTTATACTGCATCTTTCCTTTCGGTTATAAAGCGCATGCTAAATCTACAAGCTCAGGGTAAAACTCAATTCAGAATGTAATACCTGTCTCTTATACACATCTAGATGTGTATAAGAGACAGCCTACATTATGTTTGCAACTAGGTTGCAATAACAGCACAAAAGAAGATGAGTAACATGTGCTATACAAACCAGTTTAAGTAAGCAGTGTGATCCACAAAAATGAGTTAATATCAGCTTTATTATATTAAGGGACCACCTCATTAGGATCCGTAATCCTTCCTCCTTAAACATTTTTAGTTGTTGTACAAAAATTATTTTGATAAACCCACCTGCACTGGCCAGTCACCCGGTCACATTTATTAATGTCCCCTTCAGTTCCTCTAGGGTCACAATCACACTCCTAAAAAGAAAGTTTGGATGAAGAAAAAACAATGATATAATTGCAACAATTATTTAGCTTCAACAACCAATAACTGGAATGATGAACATATAGGTAGGCCTGACCAGAGTGGCGGCTCTAGGGGATATTTTCTGGGGGGAGGCTGAGCTGTCCGACAGAGGGACTTGAGGTTATAGGCCCCAGTTGGGGAAAGGGTTTAAGAGGGTTTCCCCCTCCCAAATGAGATTATTTTAAGAACAGGAAAATCTGGATGGCCAGAAATAACACTCTCAAACTGTGACAGATGTGAGTTGGCTTGGCGTGGGCCGATTTATATATATTTTTTTGTCCGACTGCAAGACGACCTCTGTCCGATGGGGGGGGGGGGCCCTTGACCTGCCTGGTGGTGTTATCATGCACTTGTAAATCAGTGGTGAAAAAAAAGCAGGCGATGCAAGCAACTTACAATGCAGCCTGCAATGGGGTCGTAACCAAAATAGTTCTCCTTACAAGCATCACAGAAATTGCCGATGACATTAGGAGGGCAAACACAAACTCCAGTCTGGTAGTGGCAAATGCCAGACAAGCACTGGCAACCTTATTGTGAAGAAAATCAACAATAAAATACGGTTAAAACACATTTCTAGAAGCACTTCTCGTGTTAATTTCAAACTTTTTATGGTAACACTACCAAAAAAGAAATATTGAATGCCTACGTCTGTCTCTTATACACATCTAGATGTGTATAAGAGACAGGCCCAAGGTGTACTGGAAATTACCCTAAACAAAAACAAAAAAAACATATCTATTAATTTGTAGCAAACAATTTTAAGAATAAATAATTGTACTGGGCCCACTTGGAGAACAGTAACATTTTACTGAAGTAAAATACCCAGTATAAAGAACAAATAAAGAATAATTATCAGCAATGTTTTTTTTTCTTTGAAGCATTTACAGGGGTAAATCCAGAATTTTTTAAACAGGCAAAATCTGACAAAATGAACTAAAAAATAACAATACAAAACAGGAAGGAAAACAGATTGGCAGGTGAATGTGGAAATAGTGAAACGGAATGAATAAGAGGTAGAAACAGAGATTGTAACAAATGGGAGAAATGAGAACAGGGAGGAAAAAAAGAAGGGAGAGAAGGGAGTGTAACTGGTGGAATATAGGATTTTCCATACGTAATAGGCTTCTCAGCTTATGAAAAATAAGAAAGAAGAATCAGTTTTATAAAGATATTTAATATCTAAAAAAACAGGATCACTTAAACCAACCTCCAGGATGTCTAGCTCCACATCTTGTCTTTCTCGATTAGGTTCGTATATGTTACTGTACATAATCTCTAGGCTGCTTCCCTGAAAAATGTATATGAAAGTGTTACCTTAACTATTGAACCAAAAAGAAAAGAATTATGTTAATATTATTATAATAATTGTATTATACATATAATCAATGATACATATTTAGTAGTTCTCTGCTTAATGGTAAAAGCTCTCAGTGAATCTTATGGGGGAAATAATAGATTGTTTTTCTTTTATTACTTTATTACTATTATTACTAAATGTAATATTATAAGTATAATAGCTTCTTGCTTTTTTATGTTTCTCCCTGCCATTCCACTTTGTTTATTTCACTGAAATCTTCCAAATTTGTTTGTTGTGATTTATAATTTGCTTCAAACTTACTGACAAAATAACATCTGGGCGTCTTATTGGGTTAGCTGGATTCAATGTGCTTGCTCGATAAGACACAATGTATCGTAATTTACCACCGTATGATGTTATCTAAAAGAATATGGGAAAAAACATTAGTGAAAGAGATTAATGATTGGTTCATTAATTACACGTTGATAAATTTGTGTTTCTATCCTTGTCTATTATGGTAACACACCACAACAGCCCCTCCTGACACTTCCAGACAGAAGTAGGTGTCAGATTCAAACTTTCAATAACAATGTTTTCCTGCTAATATGCTGTATTGTTGAGTGAAAAAAACCAATATAACAATACAAAATTACATATTTTAATGTATTACAACATAAAGAGACACTTGGATACTATTGGTACATAGGGCCTCACTGACTTTTCTCTAATAGTTTCAACAAGTTTTTAGGCCTACAAGGAGGGTGGACTGTGGAACACTACCTCATAATTACATAAAATCAAGGGATGTGATACCTTATATCCTAGATATTCTGTTGGGGCGACCCAATAGATGGTTGCTAGAGGGTCATCTCCCGTGCCACTGACATATAGTGATACTTCATTGTCACGTAGAATTACATCATTGTTCCGTACGTTGGTTACATTCCAACCAATCATAGTATTAACCTTAACAACATAGTAGTAAAACAAGAAATTATATTAGCTAATATCTTTAATGACAAAATCAATTAATAACAATAATTACAATATCATAAACCTTTAAAAAGATAATAACAACAAACAAATTATATAACAATACCTAAAGCAATAATACTAATAACAATAACATTATTAATAATAAATCATCATATCATCCTTATAATGTAAATAAAATTTGTTAAAATATATGGCAATAATGTTTAAAACATTTTCAAAAGTATTTCAAAAATCTAAAATACACAAATGCATAATGATACATTGGACTGTACCATACAATATAAGTACAAGTATGTATAATGCAGCAGTAGAATCTTACCTCCTGCCTGTACAAATTACTACTGGCAACACAGTCATTCGTGATGCCAAAGCAGAAACAGGAAGTACAACCTTTAGGATTACGCTCCTCCAAGTAGAACGTACTGTTATCACATTGATGACAGAACTCACCATGGACATTTTCCTAGCGACATAAACAAGAAAAGTAATATGCAGGTGGAGATACAAGAAAAGTATACACAGTTACTAAGAAAAAATTTGCACGCATCTTCTGCTATATTTTGTTCAATCAACAACCAAGAAAACAGCCACATGTCAATCTGATAATTAACTTTAAATAAAGTTAAATGTTTTGGAAAAATTGAGTGTCATTTTCTGCATAAAATCACAAGAATAGGAAAACAGGAAGTGAATAGTAGCTACCCACCTAACCAACCCCTACCCCTTCACCAAATGTAAATAATTACTAATCCTTGTGTTTGACTCATGAATTGGATAGCAGACAATGTAAGGATTTTTTGTAGTAAAGTCTGTAAATCTGTGGAAACAGAATTGTTTGTAATCTGTGTCTCGCTTAACTTTTTAATGTTTTTTAAAAAGCAATCAAATGTTTTGATTTAATGTTTCTGAAGGATTTTTTTTTTCAAGATTTCAATACATACCATTAAGTATGCAAGAAATAAATATTTAAACGTTTACCTTGCATAGACACTCAGCTGAGACTTCATCACACACTCTCTGTACTGTACCTGGTAACTGGCAGTTACATACATGACAGAAGGGATAGGAGTGGTGTCCGGGCAAGCACTGGTCACAGCGTCGTCCACCTACATTATGTTTGCAACTAGGTTGCAATAACAGCACAAAAGAAGATGAGTAACATGTGCTATACAAACCAGTTTAAGTAAGCAGTGTGATCCACAAAATTGAGTTAATATCAGCTTTATTATATTAAGGGACCACCTCATTAGGATCCGTAATCCTTCCTCCTTAAACATTTTTAGTTGTTGTACAAAAATTATTTTGATAAACCCACCTGCACTGGCCAGTCACCCGGTCACATTTATTAATGTCCCCTTCAGTTCCTCTAGGGTCACAATCACACTCCTAAAAAGAAAGTTTGGATGAAGAAAAAACAATGATATAATTGCAACAATTATTTAGCTTCAACAACCAATAACTGGAATGATGAACATATAGGTAGGCCTGACCAGACTGGCGGCTCAAGGGTATATTTTCTGGGGGGAGGCTGAGCTGTCCGACAGAGGGACTTGAGGTTATAGGCCCCAGTTGGGGAAAGGGTTTAAGAGGGTTTCCCCCTCCCAAATGAGATTATTTTAAGAACAGGAAAATCTGGATGGCCAGAAATAACACTCTCAAACTGTGACAGATGTGAGTTGGCTTGGCGTGGGCCGATTTATATATATTTTTTTGTCCGACTGCAAGACGACCTCTGTCCGATGGGGGGGGGGGGCCCTTGACCTGCCTGGTGGTGTTATCATGCACTTGTAAATCAGTGGTGAAAAAAAAGCAGGCGATGCAAGCAACTTACAATGCAGCCTGCAATGGGGTCGTAACCAAAATAGTTCTCCTTACAAGCATCACAGAAATTGCCGATGACATTAGGAGGGCAAACACAAACTCCAGTCTGGTAGTGGCAAATGCCAGACAAGCACTGGCAACCTTATTGTGAAGAAAATCAACAATAAAATACGGTTAAAACACATTTCTAGAAGCACTTCTCGTGTTAATTTCAAACTTTTTATGGTAACACTACAAAAAAAGAAATATTGAATGCCTACGTTGACAATTTGGAAAATCGAAGAAGCCAATTTTGCAATGATCACACCTACGACCGGTGTACCTTTCCCTGCATGGACACTGGCCACCAAGTTGGTTACAGAAGTAGTCAGTAGATCCATGGACATTACACCGACATGATTTAGCCCCGTTGTTGTAGAATACGCTTAGTGAAAACACGCTGTCGCGACAGAAACCTGTGGCAGAAGGACTATGAAATAAACAATAAAATTAAGTTTAAACAAAATGAGGTACTATTGTAGAACACAAATAATTGTATGACACAACAACTATTTCAACTCAACTTTACTTCTTTACTTTATTGCAATCGTGAATAGAAACCAAATGATTAAAGTTTAAAAATATTTATTAGGCCTACCTACATAGTAAAACGTTTAAAAGATTCCTTGTTCACTTTAGGAAGAACAAATTCACGATTGTTTCTAAGAATGTAATTATTTTGGGGGCTGACGGTAAAAGGAAATGCAATCTATGAGAAGGTGATTTTAATTTTCTAAAGTAGTTCTTACAGAACTATCAATTTTTTTAAATCATTTACCTGATGTAGAATTGGTGATTGCTGCATTCTCGAATGAATTCGCTAGCACGGTCTTGCTTTGTGAGAACCAGCAGTTCAGGTGTATACATGTCCCTTGGCACCGCCAATATGTAATCCTAAGTAAAGAAAATATTGTGCATTTATTATCCATTTTTAAAATGGTCATCAGCAGTACCTCCAGAGATTACACACCAACATCAGCCCTACAATGTTTGAGGGTGAAAGGTAAGGAAATTTAAAAATAACCACCTCAAAATCCTCAGAGTTGGCATTCTTAGACTGTAAAAATGCTTATTTAAAGCAGTGTTTTCTGAAAAAATGATTAGCTTAGATGCTAATATATGCTATAATAGCAAGTGGAACCTTATTAGTCAGGAAAAACTATGCAAAATGAAACACTGGTAGCACTTTATTGACTAACTATAGTATTTATTCACACAAGCTTTCGCCAGCAGTCTATGCTGGCTTCATTGGGTGCAGACATAATATATGCTATGCACTATTTTCATTCGCAACAGTCAACTTACTATCCATATGTCATAGGAATCTGTTGCTTGCAAAGTGATTTTGATATTGTAGCCAACTCCTAACCAAGTGAATGTGTTGCTGCCATCTGTAGTCATAACCAATGCACGACAACCAACCACATGGGGGCAATATTTAGCTTCAAATGAACCTATAAATGAATTATAATTCAATAGCAAAATTATCAGGCAAAGTTTTTCTGCTAAAGAGTACGAGCATTTATACTGCATCTTTCCTTTCGGTTATAAAGCGCATGCTAAATCTACAAGCTCAGGGTAAAACTCAATTCAGAATGTAATACAGGTCCATTGAACTGAAATCACAAGCGCCACAATTGTATTATCAAAACAATTAACAAAAGCAAAACACACAACTGACACAACATAAAAAAGATAATAATAATAGGGTGTCCTAAGCAAAAAAGTAAGTCTTAAAAGCTCATTGGAAAATATTGAGATCAGAAATGTCCCGAAGTGCAGTTTGGAGGTTGTTCCAGTCTGTCAGCGTGACAAGGGAAAGAAAAACTTCCAATATTCTTAGAATGACATGGGACAGCAAAATGTATAGATGAAACGAATCGAGTGGAATGTATTGGAATGCGTCGGTCGAGAAAATCACACAAATAAGCAGGACAAAGACCGCAGATGCATTTGTGGACCAATAGAATTACTATTAATAATAATTCTTTGATTAACCGGAAGCCAATGGATGTTATCAATGAGAGGACCTAATTCTCATCTAGTTTATGGAATACGACTATGGTAATTGATTAATAATAAATCTTATTGGTTGGAAGTGGTTGAGGCGGATGTATTCATAGCCACACATATACTGTATTACAGTTATGTATGTAAGTAATCCTGTCTTGCAATACAGCCAATGACACAATCGAGACCTAAGGATTTTAATATTTTTAAAAGGCATGTACAAATTTATCATCACAAAATCCATGATGCAAAAAAAACACCATTCTGGTTTATTGTTACCTGATTGGGTTTCATTAACGATGTCAAAGTAAACAGTGTAGGCTGAGTGATACGGTTGGTAGTAGTGCACTATAAACACCCACTGTCCATCGGCAAGGGCAATGTCATCCAATAACAACTCAACCTGTTATACAAATAATGAATATTCATTTTTATTTATCACGTAACAAGAGTTATTAAGCATGGTTGACATGACTCTAAATGACTGCCTAACAAAAACTATGGTATAAACTAAAAACTATAAGTGACTTAAAAAAAATATAATTCTCTTCTTTATAAACAGGACACGTAAAATCCAATTACAACTTCAATAAAATTCACATAGATATAAGTCTAATACTCATAAATATCTTTGCAGTAAGAAATCATGTAGGTGGGGTTGTAACTATCTGAATAACGACAATGGGAGCATGGGAGCAGATGTTTTTAAATATATACTGTACACATTTGTGCTAACAGAATTTTCTTACACTGCACTCCATCCTGGTCGTTAAAAGATAGTGCTGATCATACATGACTAGAGCCAGCCCCACACTGGTGTGCATAAACGATAGAATTACCTTTCCTGAATCCGTATTCATGTAGTATAACTTTGCATTAGTATCATATATGTTGGGAGGAATTGGTGCGGTGCTCCCTTCAGTGTTCCCCACATTAAACTTGGTGGAGGAGACCGCATCTGGATATGTTGATTGCACACAACTGAAAATCAAAAAACAATTGAAATCCTATGACAGGGTCTGTGGTACCACATTAGCAAATGTCTTTTATCTTTATTAATCTAATTAGAGACCAAAGCTGCTGTTAAGACCATAGAAACCCAGGTTCTTAAGGTGGTTCTTAATTGAAGAGAGACCTGTATTCCAGGAATGTTTTGACTTTACACCATATTTATGAGCTAAGATGGCAATTTGGTCTCTCAACCTGAGATTGGGATTACGACTCCTCGCTGAGCATTTTGCTTGTGTCCTTTGGCAAAGCACTTTAACTATGGCTGTCTCTCTAACCAGAGGTATAAGTGGGTACCTGGTAAGTTCAAACAACAAAGCACTGATTACTGCTGCAATATCAATAGAATTATTTACTGTTTTTATATTCCTTATAAAAAAACATGGTAATGCTGTTAAGGAAGATGATGAGAATTCAAAAGTTAAAGTTTTACTTTTTGTTTGAATTGCGGACACATTGCAGAGCTGGAGTCACCAAATCGAAGTTCCATTTCTCAACAGGAACAGCAACAATTGAACTCTGAAAAGATTAAACAATACTGATCAGGAAAAAAAAAATATCAATAAGAATTAGAAAATATTAAATACATATATTTATTATAAACTTTCCTAAAAAATTAATTCAACATATCCAAAAAATGTTCATGAATATTTTTGTAGTGTACTGCACTACAGAGTTGTTGTTATTGTTGTTGTTATGGTTATAGTCATAACGCGTAAGCGTAAATAACGCGCGTATTGGCAGACGTGCTGTGTCAAGTTCCTTGTCGTTCTCTTGCTGTTCGGGTTCTATGGCGAACACATCGTTATACTATTCGCTGTGTTAATGTGTTGAGTTCAGGGTTCAATAAAGTTGTAAAAGAACCTAGTATGCGTGCATATGTCTTTGTACTTTTCGTGGCAAATACATAACAATTTTAGTAAAAAACAAATTGTGCCAGCAAGTTTACATATTGTAGACCTTTGAAAGTAAACCGAAAAGTCCACTGATTAATACTTTGAATGTAAACTCATGCTATTCATTTACTTCCATTTATTGTCATTTATTACATCATAAAAATACATAAAAATTGATTTTTTTCTTAGACACAATTACATAAAATACAAAACTAAACAACAACAAACTCCTACAGACTCAGTCATATCCTTCTTGTACGATACTGCTCCCTAACGTTAAGGGAATAAATGGCTGTTGGATGCTTTTTCGGTACATGTTTTGTATGATGGTTAGAGCAATAGCATCTCCTGCTATGTAACACTTAGAGGAGAGAATGTGAAGGATGGGTTAAGTATGGCAATACAGATTGTTTTCTTCCTAAGCCTATTACCAAAAATGGATTCAGTACTTTATTCCCGTAACTTTTGATTTGTAATGCGTACTTAACTATAAATAACAGAGACAAACAGACATCCTTACCAAACCCATTTTGTTCAGAGATAGATGTTTGGTGAATTTAATCTCAAAAACTTCTTCAGGAAACACAAACACCTTAACACGGCCTTCAGCATCCATAACAACGCTACGACAACTGAGAAAAAAAAAAAATAGATCTTAAGACAAAATTTAAATCAAAAGATTTAAAAGGGCTGCATATAATCAACAGACTAGGATTATTTCTCTCCAAGATTAAAAGGTTTGTTGAACTTACACAAAGTAACAATCATACGTAGCGACAAAGCCACTGTCCTGCCCTTGCTCCGTGATTACTTGGACAGTGTGTTCACCTATTCCTGTACCCCCTCTGTAGAATTCAACTATCAAAACATACTCTCCAGCGACCGTGATTGGGAACGACAAACTTAACATTGGCTGTGAACATAAATTGAAGATGATGATATTTAATTATGTATATTTGTGAAAAAATACTATGTTGAATTAATGAATTTGAAAATAATATTGAATATATATATTGATTAAAAAAGTATTTTTCTTGCCAATCAAAAAATACATTTAAATAGTACATTTCCTATCTTCTTTGAATACAGACTTAAATTGACTGGTTGTAGGGCCCACTAAAAATACCTGAAGGCTTTTACCATATTTCACATTTCAACTTATGCTTAAAGTAATAGTGCAAATTGTTGTTAGATTTATATTTATTTATCTATTTTGCTAATACACACATGTATAATTTTATTTATATATGTTACAGAGCAAACAT